TGAGGGTTCTGAGTTTCTGCAGAGAGGGGGAGGGAGAACCACAGGAACAAAGGCTCCTGGGAGGGATGGAAACCTTGTTTCTGAAGCGCCAGGAGAGAAAATGTTCTTAACGCACATACACAGGCTTGGTGACACATTTTGTTCGTTTAGAAAAGAGTGACTCAGATGGTGGAGGGTCACTGAATGCTGCCAAATCCCGAGCCATGTTAAAAGACCCTAGCACCCACCCCAGAATATTCACATGAAACCCATTTGGGGGCAAAGAGTAGAAAGGGGTGGGTGGGAGAAACCCAAAGGCCAAGAAAGGGGGTGGGGGTGAGGACTCTTTCCAGAACCAAGGGGGTTTTCAGTTCCTCCCTCATCCTTAAGTTTTTGTTGGACCCTGGTTCTAGCCAGCCTTCCTCCAACACTCTTTCTAGCATGTCCTGGACAGAGAAGGGGAATGTTTTGGATATATGAAATAGCTGAAAGACCAAGGTTCCCAGGGCCTTGCTGATGATGTCTCTTGGAAACAGAATGAATGTAGCTATTTAGCATCCTGGGGCCAGTTTACTGGTTGGGTCCTTGGTCTGACTGAATTTCATTCTTCCAGAAGACAATGGAAAATTATAAGCCACCATTCCCAGTAAATGGGGGTGGGGAAGGAACATCATCATAAGAACCACGCCTTCTTGTATCCCTAGCATTTAGCACAAGACCTGCTTCATAGCAGCTGCTTATGGAAGTTTGTTTGCTTTGTGAATGAACAAATGGATTACTGGCACTGCCACAGAATACTGGAATTTTGGAGTCAGAAAGTCCTTTGGAGGACACCAAGCCCTGTGGATCATACCTGAGAATTACTAGAATGAGACAGCATCACCTGGTCTAGAGGAACATCCCCAAGCCCCAACATAGACAGAATATACACAGACAGACACACAGAGGCTCCCCTCCCTCTGAAGAGGACTTCAAGTCCCCTCAAAGCAAGGGCAGGGGGAAATAGCACCTATGACAAGCACAGATATTACATCCATAACTTTCCCATAATATCTGCTAAAAAACACAAGTCAAACTCATTAATCTTATTTAACATATTGTGGCACTACATGAAAATCACAACTGCACCTTCCTTATTTCACTGATGAGAATTGGTCTATGATGTGCTCAAAATCTGTTTCTTTTCTTTCTTTCTCTTTCCTTCCTTCCTTCCTTTGTTTGTTCCTTCCTTCCTTTCTTTCTTTCTTTCTTCACTTAGCAAAGCAAGCTCACAGTCTGCCTTGACCCATAGACTCTATAATATTTTGTTATTTGTTTGAACATTTTGAGTGATCTCATAGCTGGTTGGTGGACACTGCCATGGTTAATAGAAACTGCCCAGTGGTACCCCCCTGCAAGTGGTATCAAGGGCACATTTCAGACCTGTCAGCAACAAGTACCCTACTTAGGAGCAAAGGTCCTACACTCCTCTAGGTGTGAGGCTCTACCTATCACATTGTGTCTCGAAGGGGATGGTGAGCAGTGACCTTGTTCCTGCCTGCCCCTGATCCATTGATAACTGTCCTTGGCCAGGGTAGAGGAGGGGTATGAGGAGGGAAACAGATTTCCAGAAACCGTTTGCTTCCTCCATCCCATTTTCCAAGTCCTGCCCATTCCCAGCTCATAGTCCTGAGGTTGCTTCCCTAGGGACCCCTCAGGTCTGACAAATCCTGAAGACCACGGAGAGGAGTTTGGGCTCAGTCATCTCAGAGAGAGAACCTCTAGGGCAGGGGTAGGGAACTTCCAGCCTAAGGGCTAGTATTGTTGTTGCTGTTAATATGCCATCAAGTCCGTTCTGACTCAAAGGTCTGCAAAATCATTTGGTCTGGCTGTGCCCAGGCAACCACAGTTCCAGCCATCACATTGTTGTTGCTAAGTGCTGCTGAATCGATTCCAACCCATAGCGACCCTGTATAGGGTTTCCAAGGAGCAGCTGGTAAGCTTGAACCACCGACCTTGCAGTTCAAATGACTTGCAGTCTGATGCATTAGCCCACAGTGCCAACCACATTAGGGATGAGTTAACTGTTTGACCAAATACAGCAGGCTAAATTTTAAGTTGATAATTTTGTATGGCCTGCAAATTATGTTATAAATTTCAACAGGAATTTATGAAGTTTCCTCATCCCTGCTCTAGGATATATATGCAGGAGGATCATTGAAGTGAACTTCCAGAAGAGGATAGATAGGTTCTCTCTTCAGAGATGTAGCTGGCCTTGTGAATAAGGCATGGGGACTCCCATGACCTAGTTTCAGAAAAGTCACTGAATGACCATAAGTTCCCCTTACACATTTGTAGGGCCATTTCCTCTACCTACTGATCAGTCTGATTTTTCTCCATGTTCCTTCTATGCACAGCCTTAAAGACTGGGGAGACCGAGGTACAAAAGAACAGATGTTCCATGGTTTCAAAGGTTCAATAAAGAGGAGATAGAAGCCCTGGGATATCGTCCCACAACTACGTTGTAGCTTCCAGGCCCTGCCCTAAAATGTGCCTTTATGTTTTCTGCCTGTAATAGGTGGAGACAGACTTCATTGGATAAGGAACTAGGTACTGAATTACAATATGTTTGTTAGTGAAAGAAATTGCACATAACACAGGAATGTTAGGGACAATCAGGGAGTCTAGGGACACACCCTGGCTTTTACACCAACTGTGTGATCCTATGAAAGGGCCCTAACTCCCTGGTTGAGTCACTTCTGTAAAATGACTTTGGAAAAGTCTATTGGGTTAAGCTCTCATTTTGACATACATTCCCAGATTTGCTCATACCACTCCAGTGATGGAAACCTGGGCGGATGTGACAAAGAGCTATTCTTTGGTTGCTGGGTTGGTGGTCCTAAAACTTGGGGAAGCACCTGATAATAGAAAAGGATTTGCCCTGGGTTTTTTTCTCGGCAGCCATGGCATACACCCAGTGCCCAGCCTACTTGTGCCCCAGCACCCATCCATCAGCTGGCACACAGCTGCACAGTACATTTCCTCCCTTCATTTCTGTTCCTACCTTTCCAGTTCTTCTAGGCCACTGCTCATTCTCCCCACACACTCTGGGTTTGCTTCCAGCCTGTCCTCTTAGAGTAGCACCTATTCCTGCCTCCACCAGGCTCAGTTAGCTCCAAAGAAGAGAGTAGACAAGACATGACTTTTCCTGAATCTCCAAGCTGCAGCACACACCCCTCATACAAATACCCAGGCTCCTAGAGAGGACTCTGTGCCAAAGATGGTAGCCATGAGATTGCCTAGGTTCTTCAAGGAGGAATCAAGTGTTCTAATTCTTTCTTTCTCCAATTAACTCCTTATTTCATCCATTTCTGCCCTCCCCCACTATTTCTTCCATTCTTTTACTTTCTTTATAAATTCCCCAGGATCATCTTCTTAAGATTTTCACTCCCTCTGAACTTTTCCTTTCATTTTTCCCAGACTTAAAATCCTGGATCTTGGCTGAGGCCTTAGCATCTGAGGCAATTCTTCTGAAAGTACTCTCCCTCTCCACAGGGTCCCTAACAATTCCTAGGTACCAGTAGCTGCTGGGGGAACCTCACTCCTTCTGATATTTGAGGGGAGACAGGAAATGCTATGAAATACTGGCTACCAGCATATGAAGTGGCCAAAGACCCACCACATTGATGATGCTAAGGAACATTTCAGTTGTTGTGAAGTGCTTTTCAGTTTTGAGTCCGTTTGACTCATAGTGACCCTATGGAGTCCTGGGGTGGCACTGTGGGTTAATGCGCTGGACTGCAAAGTCGTTTGAATAGGAAGGTTGGTGGTTCAAGCTTACTCCTTGGAAACCCTAGTATACAGGGTCGCTATGAGTCGGAACCGAATCCACAGCACTTAACAACAACAGGAAATGACTAGTTGAGTTTGAACTGCCAACCTTGAGGTTCAAACCGACTTTGCGATCCAGTACTTAACCCTACAGTGCCACACCGACACTTTGCAGTGTATAAAATGCTGTCACTAACATCAGGTGTCTTATTCCAATGACAATATCACAATTCAGTGGACCAGGTGGAAAAATAAAGTCTTCCTAAATTTGCAAATGAGGAAATAACTAGGAAGGATAAAGGGACTGCCTAAAACGACATCTAAATCGTGGTAAACCTGAGACTGGTTTTTTCTAACACCCACACTAAAAACCATTTTGACGTCTTTAAGAGCTAACACACCTTTCATTTCACTCTAATCTCACAGCAACCCTATGAAGTGAACAGCAACACGTGGCGGGGAATCAGTTCAGGGAGATGACTTGCTTAAAGCCAAATAGCTGACTGCAAGTCCCAAAATCCAAACAGAAAAGAGGAGGAAGCTCATCCCTCCTTAGCAGCAGGGGCTACTGCCCCTACTTCCCTGAGACACATGGAGAAATCCAAGCCCCGCCCCTTGACCTTGTCAAGAGCTTTGCGGGAGCAGCCCTCAGCTTGTCCCTGGGACACAGTCCTCATTTGGGTGCACATCCTAGGCTGGGATTCCTTGGGAAGGCCGATGGCATTGAACCCTATGCTGGATGGAGGAGCCTCAGTTGTGGAAAAGTCCCGGAGACTTGGAAGCTTTGATCAGGGATGGATGGAACTCGGAAAGGAGCCTGAGGGATCGGGTGGGTAAGAGAGAGCCGGACCAGCTCCTCCCCTGCGGGGTCAGAGCCCTTGGAGCCGCCGGAAGGAATCTTTCCCAGTCCTGAAGCGTGGGAAGGCTGTAAGGACCAGGAGCGAAGCGGCCCCTCCCTCCTTCCAGAGGGCGGGCAGAAGGGGGCCGAAAGGGCCAGGCTTTGGTTTTGTGCCCACGAGGGCTGGGCTTCCTGGCCATTTCAAGGATCAGCCAGGGGCCTTCCCCAGGAGGAAAGGGCCCGTGGAGGCCCGCGCTTTCTCTGAAAGTGAAAGGAGTGGGCAGGGGGCGCGGCTGAGGCGGGGCCCAAGCAGGCAAGCCACGCAGGCTCCGCCCTGGGGCAGTCTCCAGCTGGGGGCGCAGCTATTCTCCAATCCCCGCCGCGCCGCAGGCTGGTGGGCTCGGCTGCGGCGCCTAAGCCAGGAGATGACCCTGCCCGGAGGTCCGACGGGCATGGCACGGCCTGGGGGCGCAGGGCCTTGCAGCCCAGGGTTGGAGCGGTTCCCCCGCCGAAGTGTTGGGGAGCTGCGCCTGCTCTTCGAGGCGCGCTGTGCTGCGGTCGCTGCTGCAGCTGCTGCAGGGGAGCCCCGGGCTCGCCGGACCAAGCGGCGTGGGGGGCAGGTCCCCAACGGGCTTCCGCGGGCTTCTCCGGCCCCAGTGATCCCGCAACTGACTGTGACGACTGAAGAGCCGGATATGCCTCCAGCCAGCCCCAGGCCTCCGGAACCGGAGGGCGGCTGGCTCCCGACCATAGGCTCGTCCCACCTGCAACAGCCGCGCCGCCTCTCCACCTCGTCGATCTCTTCCACTGGCTCCTCGTCGCTGCCCGAGGACTCAGAGGACGATCTGTTAAGCGACAGTGAGAGTCGGAGCCGCGGCAATGTGCAACTGGAAGCGAGCGAGGACGTGGGTCAGGTATGGGCCTCGGAGGCGGGGCTGCGCACGGGGGACCCCAGTTAAAGCACTCCGAAGACCGATCCTGTTCAAGCACCCTCTATAGAGGGTCCTATTCTCACTGTCTAGAAGGAGTAGAGGTCAGAGGGAGGCGCCAGGTTTTCAACCCAACTCTGCAGACGGGTCGTGGTCCCGGTCCTGGGGCGTCTAAAAGGCGAGGTGGAGTTCGCGACCGTTGGGGACCGGGCCAGAAAGAGGGTAGCGTTCCTCTCTGACTGAAAGGTGGAGCTGAAAGTATTGTGGGGGGTTGGCCTTGACCTGAGAACCCTTGGATAGAGGGGCAAGCAAGCGGCTCCCTCTCTCCCCGCCCCCTCTGTGGCGCTGTGGCCCCACCCCCGCCGTTGCCAGGGTTTCCCTCTCTTGAGTGGGTGTGGAGCGGCGTTCCATGCTTTGCTCCCGAGCCGCCACCGTCTGCTCTAGCTGCCCGCACTAGGCAGGAAAGGGAGAGGAGCAGCGCTGGGAGCCTAGTAGGGAGTGGAATGCAGGCCCACCCCTTGTACACCTCAGTCTCTCAGGCGCACTGATTCTAAGCATGGAATGAGAGAAGGTAAACTGAGGTTGCAAGGGTTAGGATCGACCGGGAAGTTCTGAGGCTGAGTTAATCCTCGGATAACCCAAGGCCGAGGGTACAGTGAAGTGATTCCCGTTGCCCGCACGCCCCTTCGAGGTGTGCGATGCTCGGGACAGACGCTGTATTTCCCGTTTTAACTAAAGTCAAATACTTCACCTATCCATGGTCATTGTGAAGGAGTTGCTCCAGATCCCTATTACACAAGTGTCCCTGGGGCGGGGAAAGAGGCAAAGAGAAGAGTGTCCCTGCCTAGTGACTCCAGGCTTGACCCTAATGCTGAGTCGAGGTGATTGGGCGGTGAGAGCAGCTAACGCGTTCCTGGGTTGCCTTGACTCTGCCGGGACGGCTCTGGGCGCGGCCTGGCCCTGCTCCACTCTGGCTCCGCCACACACTCGGATTGGACGAGGTGGGGAGACATGCCAACAGCTTGTGGTTTTAAGACTCAGTTACCCCCAATACTTACATTACCCTTAGGCCGTGGGGTTTATAAATGACACGAGAGAAAAATAAATCTCACATAGCAGGACCCTGCCAGTTATTGGGCGTGGAGGTTCAGTCATTAGCCTGTCTCCTCCCTCTGCGCGCGGAGGTACCCTCTGACCTGCGATCGTTCCTAGGGCAACCCTGGCCTTTGTAGGGACGCCGAGGGGGGTTTCCCTAGCGGTGGAATGTAGGTCAGTGAGAGGACTCCCACCCCACCTTGCCCGAAAAACCTGAGCGGTAGCTCTGAAACAACCGCTTGCTGCTCAAATCTCTGCCAGCTGAGAAAGTGGGCGCAGGCATAAGGGCGCAACCAGCACCCGCGCTGACAGTCCCGGCTTCCCTCTTCCGCCCGCAGAGACCCGGCGCTTGGGAAATGAAGTTCCTGGGGGTGGGGCTCGGCCAGGCTGCCCAGAGAAATCCCGCTACCCTTGTTTGAGTGTGGTGTGGGCAGCCCCCGCTAGGGTTAAGACTTCGGGGACCAGTCGCAGCCGTGCCCTGGGCATCTTCAGCCACCCCTCTGGCCCTGGACCTCGCCTCCCACGGAAGCGGCTTGGAACTGGAGCAGATGGCAGCTGAAGGCCCACTGTAGCTATAAGGCTACGTTTCCCAGGCTTTCCCAACCCCCAGCCCGCCGGGGCCTCCCCGAAGGCAAACAGCCACTGCGGCGGCGGCAGATAAGCCGAGGGTTGTTGACTGAGGCCGCCCTCGGCCAGGGAAGGGCCCTGCTCGGACTTTGCCTCGTAGCCCGCCCAGGACCAACGGAGCGCTCCCGCCCAGGCCGCCCAAAGGACTTCCCCAGGCAGGAAGCAGAGAGCGCTGTCCTGCTTGCTGGCCAGGAAGGATGATGCACTGGGGAGAAGGCAGGTGCTGCTGTAGCGCTGGGAGGGTGGGGGTAGGGTGGATGGTCCCAGCTCATGGACCCCTTGCAACATGTCCTGGGCCGGTAACAAGAGTAGTCTGTAGCAGACAGAGGCCTAGGATGACTCTACCTGCCTAGGCAAACCACATACATCTTCCACCTTTGCCTTCTAAGGAGCTTCCATAGCTTGCCCAGAACTGGGCGCCCCCCAATGAGTGTTGGGACTGCATACCCTCTCTCTCAGGCCTTTCCTCTGATAGAGGGAAAAGTGCAGGCAAGACCCATCCATACAGGCCAGGAGAGGCGTTGGGGGCCCACCCCAAAAAATAGTGGTGGTGACTATTCATAGGTTTTGCCTGCCTCCTAAAACATTTTTGGGTTGTTTCTCTAGCAGAATAGAGGACATTTGGCTCCTGTTCTCTGGTTGTCTTCCCTAAGTGCTCAAGGATAGGTAAAGAGACCTGGATGCCATCCATCCCATCCTGGACTCAGAATTCCCACACGTCATTTTCCACTAATTATAGAGTAGAATTTAGGTTAACAGACTTCCTTTTTAAAAAGTAAATGCCCCTGGGAAGGTGAAGTCGTGGGTCACTTATACCTTAGTGCAAATCATTTTATAAATTTAAACATAGCTCTCACCTCCCTCCACCCCCAATTGAAACAGAGAGAGAGAGTTGGGCTGGTAGGGAGCTTCAGCCAGAGACTGGGTAACTGGAGGCAGGGAGTGGAGCTCAGGAAGCATGGGAATGAGTACCAAAGACTGAGCAAAGGGTCTTTTCTGGCAGGAGATACGCAGTGTACCCGATGTGTTTAAGATATAGGAGGCTTCAGGATTTCAAAATGGAGCTTAGGCAAAAGAAGATGTGAGGCTTGTGTCCAGTCAAGTCCTTGTACAGCCCAAGAGATGAGGAATTATGAGTGTCCTTGTGTGATTTCATCAAAGACTCTTGCAAGCAGTCAGCTCTCCTGGCTTTCCTCCCAAGATACCCAGGTGGCCTCTGACTTCTAGTTGGTTTCCTAGGGAGAGTATTCTGTGGAGAGGTTGATGGAGCCAGAGGATGAAGCTTTGGCTCCTTTGGCAGCTAGACTTCACATGTAATATAATTAATCTGCTTTCTGATATTCAAACAATAAAAACCTCACTTGCTCAAAAATATCTTCCCTGCTGTTGTTCATGTGCCAAATCCCCACCCACCAAAGAATGATTCTCCAGGAGCCTTTTTGGATCTATGCATTTTGATATGCATTATGTTCCCTGCGGGAGGTAGCTTCCTAAGCAAGAAGATAGCACTGGATTCCAAAACACTTAACTCCTTCCAAGTCTGACCATACCCATTACTGCCGGGATAGCTAACTCCTATCGTATCAAACTCAAGAGGACCTGGGAGGGCTCAGATGAGGTCTTGGGAATGAAAGCCCTTTGTGACCTACACAGCTGGAACCAGCCTTGTTGTTGCTGCTCTTGATATGATCTTCATGAAACCAGAGTGAGGAGAGTGCCCCATTTATCTCAGTTTGGGAGCAAACATCAAACAAGTGGCAGTGGTTCAGGTCTACAGACATCAACTCCTCTTCCACCAGGCCCACCTTCCACTTTCCAGCTCCACTCACTTCCCCTCCGTAATCCCAGAAAGAAGGCTGATGTAGTTCCTTCATCTCTCCAGGGCTGGTTACTTCTTCCAATGGTGTGGCTACAGAACTAGATGTCCTCTCTGAGTCCATTCTGTTCCTTAAATTCTGCCAATAGATCCCTAAAGCTGCCTACAGCCTCTATCACTAAATCCATTCTTTTGGCTAAAGGTAAATGCATCGAGTCAATAGAGATGTGCCAGGGCAAATATCAATGTTTCCTCAGAGATCAAAGCACTCATACCACCATATGGTATAAATCACTTCACCCTGTACAAAGCTCTTTCTCTTGTAGTGTCCTGTTTGATCCCCAAAGGAAGGCAGTATAGTAGCATCAACTTTGGACCCTGCTGAACTTAGACTACTTAACTCCCCTGAGTCTTGGCTTCTGTCTAAAAAATGAGAATAACACCACCCCATGCCTTGGTGTGCGCTTGCACATTCTCACCATGATTCTTAAAGTGAGTGTGGGAGAACAGGATAGAGAATGGTGCCACTGAATACACATGGCATGCACATCTTCCTGGAATTTTACTTGAAGTGGGGGAGTCTTATAATAAAACTTGGATTTATTATGCAGCAGAATGAAAACCTTGTATGTATTTAAAGATTTTAAAAAGGAGTTTTGAAAAAGATGTCATGCTTCTGGTGGGCTGCTTCTGGTTACACCCCCAGATCCCCAGGGATTGGACATGTGATCACACTGTAGTGCTCCATATAAGGACATCAGTAGGAATGGGGTATGAGAAAGTGCCTGGCATGTAGTAGGCGGTCAATAAGTGGTGGCTCCAATTATTGCAGCAGTTGGGTAGCTGGAGGCAGGGAAGAAACAGGCCTACACAGATAACAGTACTTGCTCGGGTTCACTCAGCTAGAAGGTGAAAAAGCTAGGACTGAAATCAACTCTAGGGCTCTGTTGCTAAACCTGCCTCCTCCTTTCTATGCCAAGGGGCTTTGAGTCAGCAGGTTTCCTCTAAACCATTTTCCCAGTTTTCTCTCTCCATCTTAGAATTCCCTTTTGTCAGGGAGGCTATGTTCCTGAATTCTAGTCCTGGGGAAGCATACTCCTTAGAGGGAGGCAGCAGACACACATGAGCAAACCTGTGTACTAACAGATAGGGACACAAGACTAATGAGTTTGGTGTGAGAAGAAGAAAGGTCCAGAGCATGAGATGCTCTCAGGAGTGGGTGGAGTCTAGAAGCAACAGTCATGAGATGGGATACACCAAAATCTATATTTCCCTGCCAGCTTTGTCCAAGATGACAGGTTCTCAGCTTTGCAGTCCTTTTCAGAGCTCAGAGTTTCTGGGTTCAGATCAGGATTAAAGGTGCCCTGGGCCTTGACAACTTGGAGAGAGTACATCAAATTCAGAGATAGCAAGAAAGTCTCCTTGTTAAGTGCTGTTGGTTCTAACTCATAGCGACCCTGTATAGGGCTTCCAAGGAGTGACTGGTGAATTTGAACTCTGACATTGCAGTTCAAACTGACCTTGTGGTCCATGTATTATCCCACAGAGCCACAAGTCTTGGGGAGCCCCAAACCATTCTTTCTCCAGGTCCTACTGGGCTGGTTTCTCTATCCTGGGCTTTTATTATAAAGGTTTGTCTCCTTAAATGAGAGAAAGCAATGGTTTCAAATGAAAGAATCAGTGATCTAGATTTATCCAGCTTCTGTGTCATGCCAAGGAACTAGGGGGGTGGGGACGTGTTGCCTATCACACTCAAGTCTGATTTACCACACACAACAACCCAGGGATTTCCCAATTTTATAGATAAGAAACTGTTGCTCACACCCAGAGTTTTGCAATGTGATCTGGGAATCTCCTTAAACATTAGTAAAAATGCAAATGCTCGGCCCTACTCCAAACTTCCTCAGTCAGAATTTCCTAATGCTAGATCTGGATATCTGAATTTTTAGGAAAGGTGATCCTAATGATACTCACAAAAGTTCTAAGTTCTGATAACCTTAGCTGAGCAGTTTGGTAACCTGCCCACAATAAATTTTCAGTCACAGAACAGGGGTGCAAACCTGAGCCTTCTGATTCTAGGGCCAAGGCTCTTTCCAGCACAAACCAGAAGCTGGATATTTGTCACCTCCCTATGCCGGACTCATTGTCAGTGTACTAAACTGTCCTCGAATGAATGAGTGAAGGAATCACTCCCCTAACTGCTTCAGGTGGCCCTGGCGTGGGGCAACACCCTTTTCTAGAACAGAGAGCTGAGACTGCCGACGTTCACATCCTGCCCCTGTCACTTTCAGAAAAGCCATTGGCAGAAGATCCGGACTATGGTGAATCTGCCCATTATGAGCCCTTTCAAGAAGCGCTACTCCTGGGTGCAGCTGGCGGGGCACACGGGTGAGCACGGGGACCAAAGTGGATAAGGAGGGTACTTAGGGCAAGAGGAAGCTGGGGATCTCTCACAAAGGCCCGTCCACAGGGAGTTTCAAGGCAGCAGGCACCAATGGAATGATCCTGAAGCGCAGCTCGGAGCCAGAGCACTCCTGCCTGGTGCGGCTGATGGCGGACGCCCTGCGTGGCTGCGTGCCCGCCTTCCATGGCGTGGTGGAGCACGAAGGCGAGAGCTACCTTCAGTTGCAGGACCTGCTCGATGGTTTCGATGGACCCTGTGTGCTTGATTGCAAGATGGGAGTCAGGTACACGTGCCCCTTAGGGCTGGGCAAGGGAGGGGAGGGGGGCCCGGCAGGTGGTCGAGGGGTGTCTGTGTGCGCCCCCCCTCCCACGTCCAGCTGCCGCCTGCTTTCCCTTAGGACTTACCTGGAGGAGGAATTGACCAAGGCTCGAGAACGACCCAAGCTGCGGAAGGACATGTACAAAAAGATGCTGGCGGTAGACCCTTTGGCGCCCACTGAGGAGGAGCACGCACAGCACGCTGTCACCAAGCCTCGCTACATGCAGTGGCGGGAAGGCATCAGCTCCAGCACTACACTTGGCTTCCGCATTGAGGGCATCAAGGTGAACCAGGCATCCCTTCCCCATTTCCCCAGCTGACCCACCTCAAAGGAGTGCCCGCAGGAAGCTGTGTAGCTTTCCCCAGCACCAAAGCCCAGGTGGTACTGCCCTGCTCTAGCCTGATCCTCTCCCCTGAAGCAAGGGTGGATACTGACACTTGGCATCCCATTTATAGAAAGCAGATGGATCCTGCAGTACTGACTTCAAGACTACACGAAGCCGGGATCAGGTGATTAGCGTCTTCAAAGAGTTTGTACAAGGAGATTCAGAAGTACTGGTAAGTGCTGGGTCTCAGAACCCTGAGGTGCTAGGGAACACGCAACTGAGGGGTGCCCCCAGGTCATCTAATCAAGTGCCCCATACATCATACATGCCCAGTGTAGCATTTATTGCCCTGTATTGTCCTTATCTTATGTCCCTTCTGGACTGGGCTATGTGGAGACCTGTGTCTTCTTCACCATGGTTGGTTTTTAACCAAGCAGAACATGCTCTTGTAAGCAAAGGTGCAGTTAACCTTTAATTTGCCTTCATGTCCTACCCTGTCCACTCCAGAGGAGATATCTGAATCGCCTACAGCAGATCCGGGACACCCTGGAGGTCTCTGAGTTCTTCAGGAGACATGAGGTAAGTGACCAGTAGTATTAGAAGCCTGGTTGGTAGTCTGTGAGGCTAGAGCGGGAATAGGGTGGGGGCTCCTCCCAAAAATACCTGCAGCCTGACAGTGTGGAGCCTGGCAGGTGATCGGCAGCTCACTCCTCTTCGTGCATGACCACTGCCATCGTGCCGGTGTGTGGCTCATCGACTTCGGCAAGACCACGCCCCTTCCCGATGGCCAGACGCTGGACCACAGGCTGCCCTGGGAGGAGGGCAATCGTGAGGATGGCTATTTGTTGGGGTTGGACAATCTCATTGGCATCCTGGCCAGCCTGGCTGAGAGATGAGGCTGGGCCTCTGTCTCCAAAGGTGTTGGCAGTTTTGACCGACAGACCTGTAGCTTCATCCAGGTGGTGCATGCCAGGGGGAAATGGCAGGTCCCTACCCATGCTGGGCAAGGTGATTCACACAAGTCCTGCAGGGCCAGGTGACAACCACAGATTGTGGGGAGTGGGTGGAAAATGGCACTCACATGAACCCCAGCATTCCAAGAGCCAAACAACACTAATTTTTTGGGAAGGGAAACAACCAGCTGCTTCCTCAGTTGGCTCTTTTGAAGGGGCTATCCAGCTCGTCAGGGGGAATCAGGTCATCAATTTTATTTAACAGGCACTGCTAGGCCATAGGTCCAGTCTCCCACACTACAATGGACTCTTTCCTTCCCAATAAAACTCCAAGATTCCAGCTTTTGTGATGCATGTCTCATTCCCAGACCCCATCCTCTCTCTCTGCTGCCCCCCTCTTCCTCAGTTCTCAGTGTTTCTGTGGTCTGCTGAGATGACTGGGAGATGTAAGGAGAAAAGCTTTTTATTAGAGGCATCTATTGGGGCAACCCAGATGAATGATGCTCATGGAGGGTGGGCAATCCAGAGAATGCTTCCCATAAGAGGCAAATGCAATTATGCATTGATACCTTTGGGAGAAGGCTCTGCCCCAAAGATCAAAGACTGGGAGAGTCCAGGTCCTTCCCCAAGGGGTCTAGGGCTAGTTTCCAGAGGAAGAATCCAGTACCACTAGGCCAGCTGTGACACAGGCCAGGGGCAGACTGAGAGGGGCAGAGGGTATTAGAATAATAACCCTAGAGGTCTGAGGAAGAGTTCAGGGAGGAGCCGTTGCCTGAATCTTCACTTTGAGAGCTTCTTAGGGCCCAGGAGCCATAGGTGGGATTTTAAATGTTCTAAGGTTGGAGGCTTCTGGATTTGGAGGGCGTTAGGCCAGAGGGTAGCCAGAAGCCAAGGGAGCTCTATCACCAACTCTTCAGGTTCTCTAGACTCAATTCCTGGGGCTATAAGAATCTTAGGCTTCCAAAGACCTCCCTAGCCCAGAAACTTACTCCAGGGTGGGACCCAACTCCATTGACAGGGGTGAATTCAGCACATTAGGGTCCTGCAATAGGAGAGTATGGAAAAGCGAGGCCAGGGAGTTGTTTTATGGCTTTCCTCCTTATCTTCCAAACCAGAAGGGGGGGGGACGGGGGGGCAGGGGACACCTAGGTACAATAGTATTGAAGATGGTCTATGATGCTGGCAAAAGCTAGGGCAGAGCTCACGTTGGTGCTGCCAACCTAGGGAGAATTGGCAAGTTGGTCACACCCAGGGTCATGAAGGCCATCTTTCCCTGGGCTGTCCATAGGAAGGTCCATTTGGCTTCCTTTAACAACTAAGTCCAGTACCTCCTGGTTGGGGTAGCCAGGGCAGAGCTTGAAGCTTGGTGAGAAGATCTTCCAGAGCAGCAGCCCAAAGGACCTGCACCACACACATGTGGGAGGGATCCAAATGAGCTGCATCAGGTAGAGCTTCCATGCTATCACATGAGATGGCCCAGAAAGGGACGAAGTGCTATCACCAGGAGTCTGTCTTGGATGTGAAGATGCCTTCCAGGAAGGCCTCTCGGGTCATCCACTTGACAACCCTTTACCAGAGTCTTGGTTATCTGGAGCTGCTATAACTGAAATACCACAAGTGGATGGCGTTAACAACCAGAAAGTTTATTATCTCACTGTTTAGGAGGCTAGAAGTCCAAATGCAGGGTGCTGGTTCTTGGGAACGCCTTTTTCTTTGTTGGCTCTGGGGAACGGTCCTTGTCTCCTTTCAGCATCTGTAACTCCAGTATTCCTTGAAGAGCTCCACATACTTGGCATCAGTCTTCCTCAGGATCTAGAAGCTTCACAGTGCAGGGACTCCAGGCCCAAAGGATGTACTCCACTCCTGACGCTTCTATCTTTTCTCTGCTTAAATCTCTCTCCTTTTGTCTTCTTGTAAAATAGAAGGTGTTACATGCCACACCCTTGTGAATCTCCAGTAAATCAGATCAGGGTAGTGGTGGTATGTTGTTGTTGTTGTTGTTAGACCCATAGTGACCTTATACACACCAGAAGGAAATACTGCCCGGTCCTGGGCCAACCTCACTACTGTTGCCACACTTCAGTCCATCAATGCTGCCACTTGGCTGATCTATCTTGCTGGGGGTCTTCCTCTTTTTCTCTGACCCTCCACCTTACCAAACATGATATCCTTCTCCAGTGACTGGTCCCTCCTGATAATATTTCCCAAGTAAGAGAGATGAAGTTTGGCCATCTTGGCCTCCAAGGAGCACTCAGGCTGCACTTCTTCCAAAATGGACCTATTGGTTCTTGCCGGGGTCTGGCCCCGACATAGTTGTCACGAGTTTTTGGTTCACGAGGAGGGGAGATCCAGCGGCGATAGGGATAGCGAAAGAATACACAGAGAAACAGAAGAAGGGAGACAATGAGGCACCCCAAAGCCAGGGTGGATACATCACTGGTGGGCAGGCTTGGAACTACAGGCATCATGGCCTCTGCAGGCAGCGACTCACTGCCCTGCAATATTTAATGCATGCCTTCCAACCCGTAACGCACCGCAATCTTTACTCCATGCCTTCCAACCAGTAATGCACACCTGGGGAGGCCCGGGCCTCTGCTTTATTTAGGGGAGGAGTTTCACACCAAGCTGGGAGGGACTAAAACAGGATACAGCTAACATCAGTACTTTTCCAGACATTCAGGTAACTTTACATTGTACTTCACTGGTTCGAATCCCAGGCCAGCAACTTGGATTCTCAGGTGCCATTAACATATCTATAGCCTCTGAGGTCAGTTGGGGGAAGGTGAGAGTTCTGCAGGAGACGCCCAGGTGAATGGGCTGCACCTGGAAAAGGGATTAGGGAGGATGGGTTCTTTGTCTATAGAACAAAGAACCGAGAAGTAGCTAAGATATTTTTAGTTAATCCTTTGGAGAAAGGTTTAACCTTGCAACCTTTAGTCTCGGCTTTAGGAAAATATCACATTTATCTGTGGATTTTCAAAGGCTCCAGTGTATTAATTTAATATATATACCTGAATATTAAGATGAAAGCAATTTTCCATTAACTGCCAGTGGCCTCATTTGTTACACTCAGCCCTAGAGGGCCTCGAACCTCTGACTAGTCTTACACGGTCTGCAACAGGTTCTTTTGGCAGCCCATGGTAACTTCAGTACTGTCCTCCACCACCATAACTCAAAAGCATCAATTCTTCTACAGTCTTCCTTATTCACTGCCCAGCTTTCGCATGCATATGAGGTTATTGAAAATACCATGGCTTGGGTCAGGCACACCTTAGTTCTCAAACTGACATCTTTGCTCTTCAACACTTTAAAAAGGTCTTGTGCAGATTTGCTTAATGCAATACGTCCTTTGATTTCTTGACTGCTGCTTCCATGAGTGTTGACAGTTGATCCAAGAAGAATGAAGTCTTTGACAACTTCAATCTTTTCTCCGTTGATAAGAATGTTGTTTATTGGTCCATTGGTGAGGATTTTTGCTTTCTTTACATTGAGATGTAATTCATACCGAAGGCTGTGCTCTTTGATCTTCATCAGTAAATGTTTTCAGTCCTCTTCACTTTCAGCAAGCAAGGTTGTATCATCTACATGTCGCAGGTGGTGTTATATCCCACCCTTAATCCCCATACTAGTGTATCAGGTCAAATCACATCATGGGGGATTAGCTACATGTCAACTATCAAACCACTGAGAATCCTGGCGCAGTCAAGTAGACATAAAACTTTTAACTATCACAACCAGCAGCAAGCCCTGGCCTTATAGTGGTAATAATTGGCCCTATAAGAGGGAGTTACTAAGTGCTGTTGAGTCGGTTCTGACTCATAGTGACCCTGTGTGTTTAGGGTTTCCGAGGAGTGGCTGGTGAGCTTGAACCGCTGACTTTGCAGTTAAAACGACCTTGCAGTCCAGCGCATTAAGGGCTCCATAAATCACACTAAGACTCCATAAGAAGGAAGAGAGACTCAAATAACACCCCAAGGGATTGATAACCCTCCTTGCAAGAGCTGCCTCCCGGCTTCTCCAAGCCCCACACTGGTAAATATCTCATGCCATCCTGAATCTCTGTTCTTGACTACTCAGCTGGGCTCACTAAAGCTCAGCAGACAGTTTTGGGCAACAATGCCCCTACAAATCAGGCAAAAGAAATCACTCCCAGAACTCAGAGATGCGTGCTCTTTCTAAACTATTTTCTTAAAAGCTAGGAGAAAGGACTGTTACTTGGGGAAGAAATTGGGCTGGGGTAGGTCTCCTGAGATATGGTTGGGTCCCCCAAGCCCCAAACCTATGGATGAAGTGACTTTCTTCCAGTAGTGGCGGCCATGGGCAATGTTGTAGGCCATCTGCTGCAGGTCCTGCATGGCTAAAGGGGATGGTTGACTTTGGACCTTGCAGGTCTCAGGATACATGGCAAGGATCCTTTTAGAAGGACCTGAAGGGTCTCACCAGGTACAGTCAGCTGTGCTTCAGGAAACTCTTCATGTCCCCACCAGATATCAGCTCCAGCGGAATAAGGCCAGGGGCAGTCTGGAGACTAAGCCCCACACACCACACAATGCTTTAATGGTTGAACTTGCTGAGTGGGTGGTGCACATACCCCATCACCAGCAGGGACAGAAACCATGTTCTAGGCTCCGCACGACTGGAGAGGTCCTCTGTGTCCCTACCCTTGTTACCTCAAAGCCTCAGGGTGAAGAGAGACTGTTCCTGCAAGCAGCTCTAGGTGCCTTCCTCCCACTTTTCGCTCCTGCTTCCTGCCTCCGGTGCCTCCCTGAGGAAATCTACATCATCCTGATGAGAACAGAGTTCTAGCAAGATCTGAGGAGGCAAAGGGCACAGATTCATGGATCACCCTGGAAATGTGAGGAGGGTGGGTGAACCCAAGTTCTAACACTGTGCTTTCTGCTCCTCTACCCCCAGCTAGGTGGAGTCCTGATGTGGAGCTGTGGGTTAATGCACTAGACTGCAAGGTCAGTTTGAACCACAAGGTTGGCAGTTCAAGCTCACCAGCCGCTTCTTGGAAACCCTATACGGGGTTGCTGTGAGTCAGAACCAACTCAATGGCACATAGCAACCACCACCACCACGCCTAGCTGGAAGTCTTGCTTCCTGTCACCTTGATAGCTACTTACAGGGGCGAGGCCCCCAATTACCAGTCCCTCGCACACCTCTCCAATGGTATCATGGCCTAGGGCTCTGTAAGAAGACAGCATCCAGTGTGGTGCCTGGCACCTAGCAGGCCTCTATACCATCTGTCCTAATGTCATACTGTCTCTCCCAGGCCTCAAGAATCCAGAGGTTGGGCAAAGACAGGACATATCCATGCATGTTATCCACAGTTAGTTCTGTGCCCTCTGCCTGTCATTGGCACGCCTTCAAGGGGCAATGATTACAATTGAAGTGTAGTCGGGTCTCCTCCTCTCCATGGTTTTCCATGACTGGGAAGCTGGCATGGCAGAGGGACAGCACAGTTACTTTTTTTTAAATTAAATGTTTTTATTTTGCATTGAGTGAAAGTTTACAGGGCACATCATCAGCTTCACATTCAACCATTGATATAGCTTGTTTCATTACATTGATTATTATCCCCTCCATATATCATCAGTTTACAGTGTTTCTCTCTATCCTCTTTAGCTTTTTTTTTTTTTTTGGGTGGGGGGGACTTGGCTTTTTGGAATTTACAGTCTCGGCTTTTAGGGAAGGTTTTTACATTTGTCTGTGGATATCCAGGGCTCATGTATGAGATTACTAACAAGCATTACTGAATAATCAGATGAGGGACAGTTTGCTATGTCTACTAGGTGGCTAGAGTCTGATCCTCAGAGCCTATGGTTTGGACGGTCAACAACGCTTGGGCCCACAGGGGCTTGGCCTCCTGACCGGGTCTGTACTGTCTGCATCTGAATCCTCCTTATTTATTGATTAAGGGACGCTGCCTGTCTTAGGTGGTCAGTGCGAATTCCTCAGTCTTACCAGTCATTGAGACTCATTGCAGCATGGCAATGTCTCTGTCTTAAGTAGCCGAGGTTCCACGTGATCCTTACCCATCTCTGGCCACACGTCCAGCATAAACAGCCGCCATCTGAGGAAGGCAGGGAGAGAGGAGATCAGCTGGGGACCCCATGCGCCCGACGTTGCCGGCCCACCACCTGCTCTAAGGTGACCAAACAGGATCACTATGCTGAGGTTCAATCAGCACAGTTACTTTTTTCAGCCACATGCTTCATTCTAGTCCAGGACTTTGGAGCAAGAGGAGCAGAGTCAGTTTAAGGGTTGCAGGGAGGGCCTAAGGGACTTCTGACAAGTCCGCATACTCTCTTTTTCTGGAAGTCATGAGCTTACAGGTATTTGAGAGAATTCATAGCAAAGAGTTACTTGACCAGCACCCACAAATGCTCCATACTAACATTACAACAGACATTACAACAGTTTCCAAAGGTTCCTGCTGTACAAGAACCACCCGAACACTATATAGTGCAGAGCTGGTGGCACTGATGGAGTGGCCTCAGGAACTGGGGAAAAGGGCTAGGCCAGGCTGAGGGGTGGGGAGTCAGGGCCCATACCTGTCAGAGGCTCAATCTCAATGATAGAGTGTGTGGAGGCCCCATCTTCTCCATGGGTCCAGAGGGTGTTAGTTTCTGAAGTGTTACCTCTTGGAAATTGATAGGTTTGGCTATAAAATGAGAAGTGGGTGGTTAGGGGCATTTGGCTACCTCACAGCTAGAAAGCTGGCTTATAACTAACAAGGAAGCTGGACTCTCCCTGGAAATCCCAGTGTGGCCCTTCTTCACACTAGTATTACTATGGTATGGGAGCTGAGGGGACAGAGAGGTGGTTGGTGAAGGGAGTAATTAATCAGCTGCAACCTCATCTGGCCTGAAAGGCTGGCTCAGACTGGCTGGGCCACCTATCTGAACCTGTGGTCCCAGTGTCCTCAGTTATAAAGTGGGAGAGGCTCATCCCACACATTCCATTGCTGTGAGAACTGAGATCATGTGTGTCAAGTACTTGTGAACAGTACACTCCAGTCAGACACAGGCTCTGGAGGACATTAGAATCACCTAGAGAACTGGTTAAAATGCAGGTGGCTTCCCTAGAGTTTCTTATTCAGTAGTTGGGGAGGCGCCTGCAAATTTGCATTTCTAACTTTATCAGGTGGTGCTGATGCAGCTGATTGGGGAGGATATTTTGAAACTACTGATTTAAACCAACCCTGCCCTTCTGACTCCTTGCTCAGCTTACTAACTCAGCCAGTTCTAAGTTCTGGGACTGCTGTAGATCAAAGAGGGTAACTTGTGATGGCCTGGGCTTAAATGAAAATCTGCGGAGTCCTGTCTGTATGTGTGATTTGCAACTGACTTGACCTCCTTTTCCAAGAGCGAAGTCCCCTAGTGGTGCAAATGGTTAAACGCTGATTACTAAGCAGAGGGTTGGCAAATCCACTCAGAGGCACCTCAGAAGGCAGGTTTGGCAATCTGTTTCCAAAAAGTCGCCTTGAAAATAAACCTTACAGAGCCGTGCTAGTCTGCACACACATGGAGTTGCCATGAGTCAGCATCGGCTCTATGGCAACTAACAACATTACGCTATCTGTTCTTGGCTCAGTGCCTTTCCCACCTATCTTTCCAAGGGGTTTGGGCCTGTTTTAAGGTTTTAAGTTCACTTCATACTCGGAGCTGCCCAGCCACTCGCCTCACGGGCGTACCTACCCTAGTAACCGACGCCTCCTCCTTAGACAATGCAGGCCCGAGGTTGCTTGAGCAGCTCAGCCAACTCTGACCGCCCTCTGCTCCTTACCTCGGACAATGAACTACCCGCCTGTGGTGAGGGGTCTGGTGACGTCCAATCGCCCCCTCGACATGACATGCGGGACGACAGCAGTATGGCGAGCAGCCAGGAGAGCGCACAAGCCCGCCTATCTCCGCGGTCACTGGCGAGCTCTGGGGCGTGTCCTGCAGTCGTAGAGTCATGGATGAGGCACTGGACCAGGGCTCCCCACGCAAGGGCAAGGGCAGGGGCTCCCAGCCGCGCCCAGGGATAGAGTGACCCCACGAACCCTATCGGAACGCGTGCGCACTTGTGGGAAGAAGTTCACTACCCGGCTGATGAGCGCTAAGGGCGGAGGCGGCCTGCACCAAGCCGAGCAAGTATTCGGAAAATGAAGATGTAGGTGGCACCTCCGCCACCCGCAGCCCAGCTCCGGGATCTCGGGCCCCTTGTTTTATTGGCTGCCACGTGTTCTTCAGTGGGGTGAGTCTTTCCAAGGCCAGTAAGCTCTTCCGGCTGCCCTGCGGGCGACGGGCGCCAAAATCCGCGAGACCTGGGAGACTCCCCTGTCAGCGCCGGGTCCGAGAGCAATAGGATCCCTCACCTTCACCCCAGCCCTTGTCCCATTGGCACTCTTTATTCTGGCACTGGCGTCCTCTCCCTGGTGCCCCCTGCGGATGAAGAGAGAAGACTGCAGAGACGACGCCATGCACCCGTGACAGGGGTTCCTGGTGCCCGTGCCGTCCCCGGCTCTGTAGGCTGAGACCCTGCGGGAAGCCGGTACCAAGTCCACCACCCTTTGTCCTTGAGCCGCCCACCCAGGGCTGAGGTGGGAAACAGAAGCAACCCCCAAATTCTCATCTGAGAGGCCGTAGAAGCCACAATAAACTTTAATGGGGTGGGGAGACTAGGTTTGCATACAAATTATTATTACTATAGTTCACATTTGTTTTGAGACTTTATGGATATGGGGGAGGCTCAAGCCACTCATTGGCACCGCCGCTTTTCAGGGCATTCCCTTCAGCGGGAACGGGGTTCTAAGTACAGGCTAACTTAGAAGCACGAGTGCCACTGAAAGGAGAGGCGGGCATGGTCGCCCGGACTTATCGTCGCTGCGGAATACCCTGCGACACTGTGATCTGTCAGGCGCTCGCCACAACAGGCCTGTCTGCCTCCTGGCGGCCCCGATTGTCACCGCCACGCTGCTGTCCGCGTGCGCCCCGTCACAATGTTTCTGTGGCCCAGGCCGGTGGAGAAGAGCCGAGACCCTTGGTTCCTGCAAGCCAGGAGGGAGGAAAGGCCGGGCCACTTTCCCTGGCCTGGGAGTGAGTCTAGTGAATGTTGGAGAAGGGAGGAGCCCGGAGCTAGCCTGGACGACAGTGGGGCGAGGCTGGCTCCAAGCCACCAGTCCTTGGAGCTTGGAGCTGGCAGCGCCAGGATTTGTTGTTGCTACGTGCCGTCGAGTCGGTTCCAACTCATAGCGACCCTGTAAAGGGTTTCCAAGGAGCAGCTGGTGGGTTTGAACTACCTACCTGGTCGTTCGCAGTCAAGTCAGTTCCGATCCATAGCGACCCTGTACAGGGTTTCCGAGGCTGTAAATCTTTACGGGAGCAGAAAGCTTCATCTTTCTCCCGCGGAGTGCCTGGTAGTTTCGAACTGCTGGCTTAACTACTCCCACCTCAGACCCCAGAGCGGAAAGAGTGAAAGGTGAGTTGTGAGTTGCTGCGCGGTCCTGTCGCTTCTGGAGTGTCTTCTGTAGCCCCCAACCAGGGCTCTAGGTCTCCAGCCATTGAGTTGACCGCTGGGGATGAGTTGAGGCAGAATCGCAGAATCGTGGTGAGCCACACCCCAGGCACTGGTACCAGCTTCAGTCTCTGAGACAGGGCGTGCTTCATTAGTGTGTGTGCTCACACGCATGCACGTATGGTATGTGAGGACAGAAATGTGTTAACATACGGGTTCTTTACACTGCCAAATGGCCCCAAGCAAGGCACTACAGTGTCTTTAACTTAGTGACTGCAAGGCAGAACCTCCTGGAACACTTCAGAAACATGGATTTCTACTACAATTCCTTTGGACACTTCTTACTGTGATTTGGATAAAGCCTGGACCAGATGTTGGAAGATCCACGGGCTAGTATTAGAATCCCTAGTCAGTGCAGTGGGTGATGTTGTCAGGTCACAATTGCTTCCAAAGTTTCCCCAACAGCTGTGAAGTCTTATGAAGGAAAATTGCTCTGTAAACCACAAGGCATCCTATAACTGTGTGGAACACTCAGCCTTCAGGTGGCTTTGCTCCTTATTCTCTTGATCAGAACACTAATTTTATTGATTTATTGACATTTTATTGTGCATTAGGTGAAAGTTTACATAACAAATTCGTTTTCCATTCAATAGTTTACACAAAGTTGTTCCCTGATAGTGGTTACTACCCATGCAATATGTCAACATTCTTCCTATTTCCATTCTGGATTCTACGTTTCTATTCCTCAAGTTTCTTGCCCCTTCTCGTCTTTGTTTTTGGACAAATGCTATTTCTACCTGGATTCCCATATTCCTTTTGTTTCTTGCCCCTTCCTATTGCCTCATTTTTGCTTTTGGACAAATGCTGTCCCCTTGGAGTTGATTTTTCTAAGGAGCACATTCTTCATGGGTGTTACTGTCTACCTTTTGGTTATTGTCTGTTATTTGACTGAAAAGTGATTTCAAGGAGTAGCTTTGGTTCCATATCAGAAGGAATGTAGCATATATTCTTGGGGGTTCCTCTGGTTCCCCCAGTAAGTCTGGTCCTTGTTATGAATTTGAATGTTATTTGACATTTTCCTCTCACTCTCACCAGGATCTTCTATTGTATCACAGTAATTTCAAAGGCTGAGGCCTGTGCTTAAGTAGAACTATGCTCCATAAGGTTTTCAACAGTTGAAAACACTTTAGAAGATCACCAGGTCTTTTGTATAGACGTTAATTGCTTAAAAATAAATCCTATTGGATAATTGTGTTCAGCATTCCATTTATGGTGGTGGGTTCTCTACCTACTGACAGGGCATTCACCCTGATGATCTACAAATGATGATATTTAATTCCATACAACTAATGACAGTATGGAGTCCCGGTGTGGTGCTGTGGGTTAATGTGCAGAATTGCAAAATCGGTTTGAACTGCAAGGTCAGTGTTCAAGCTCACTAGCCGCTCCTCGGACACTCTATACAGGGTCGCTATGGGTTGGAACAATGACAGTATGGTGTGGCACTGTGGGATAATGCCCTGAACCTGTACAGTTGGTCTGAACCACAAGGTCAATGGTTCAAATTTACCAGCCACTCCTTAGAAATTCTATACAGGGTTGCTATGAGTCGGAACCAACTTGACGGCACTTAACAAGGACAGTATTGCCGCAGGACCAGGCAATGTTATGTTCTGTTGTGCCGACTCATAGTGACCCTATGCACAACAGAATGAAATACTGCCAGGTCCTTCATCATGATTGTGAAGCCTGAGGGCATTGCTGCTACCACTGTGCCAATCCAGTTCATTGGGGTCTGTCTTCCTCTTTTTCTTCCATTTTACCAAACATGATATCCTTCTCCATGAGCTGGTCCTTCCAGACAATATGTCCAAAGTATGAAAGATGAAATCTGGCCATCCTGCCTTCTGGGGAGCATTCTGTCTGTACTTCTCCCAACATAGATTGGTTTGTTCTTTTGGCAGTCCATGGTACTTTTAATATCATAACTCAAATGCATCAATTCTTCTATGATCTTTCTTATTCACTGTCCAACTTTCACATGCATATGAGGTTACTGAAAATACCATGGCTTGGGTGAGGTGGCACCTTAGTCTTTGAACTGACATATTTTTTAGCTCTTTTGCAGCAGATTTGCCTAAATGCAATAGGTCATTTGATTTTTAGGCAAGCCTAAGTGCTAGAATTTACACAAAAGAAACTAAAGCTTAGGGATGAGCCTGAGTTTGTTTTAACCCACTTCTCCCCATTATGCCTATCACCGATAAGACTGACATTGGAAGTGGTGATGTAGGATGGCTACCAATTGAGTTTTGGCTTCTGTCTCAGGCTAACAGTTGATGGAAATAGGGAACCATAAGGAGAAGAGATACCTCATTCAATTGGTCTGCTGAGAAAGTCTTTCCAGAAGTGTCCTGATGGCCTAGCTTTACCCTGAAACTGGATTCATGTTCTTACTGTCTCCAGATGTGGACAGTTTTCATTGCCCACTCATGACTCCTTCCCCAGCTCTCTCACAGCAGTCTTGAGCCTCCCCTGGTATAATCCACCCTTCAATCCCAATCTGAAACCAACACATCTGAAATCAGTCCAAATCAGATTCCCAGGAGATAGAAATATTTTTATTTCAATGCATAGCTATAACATTCATATTCTGGCTTGGGAGTGGGAGGAAGAAATGTCCCCAAGGAGAGGATAAACAGTAAGGTCATCCTTCACTCCCATCATAGACGCTCAGACGCCCCTGATCCCGAACTCCACACATCAGGATATAATGGTAGTGTTCTCTCTGTTCCAAAGAAGTTCAAACTACCTGCTCCTAGGAAGGCAAACTTCTGCTCCTTTGTCTCCTGCCCACATGAGGCCCCTCTGTCTGGCCAGGTGGAGAAGATCTCTCAGTGAACCTCAGGAGAATGTATCCATCTCCCCATCTGTAGCATCTATACTAGATTTTTAACACCCCAGTTTGGAGCACCCCTGAGATAAGTCCCTGGAGGTGCTGCTGACGTAGAGGCGGCAGCTCAGGATACAGCTCAAAGCCCTCTGGGCAGGCTGAATTTGGAAGCTTATAGTGGAGGATGTGCTGCTGGAGACCCTGCAAAGAGAAAAGAAACGCACTGAAAAGGTAATGAAATCCTATTGCGTCTCCATCTCCCATAACCCACCAATCTCCTGTCCTCCAGGATGTGCCCTTACCTTGTCACCCAGCAGGCAAGTTTTCTGCAGCATGCTCATGCGGACAGCTTTCACCTCATCCTGGAGGCAGAACAGGGAGAGGTGGCACTGGGTTGAAGGCTGGCCTTGCTCAGCTTTTGCCCTAAAGCAGCTCAGTTGGTAGCTCCCTCCCTCCCTCTGCAGCTCAGGACTTAACTTACTGAACTCTTTGGGTCCTGGGAGAAGATGAAGCTATTGACATGAGCCACAGCCACAGCGTAGAGCACAGGACACCAATGTGGACAAAGTGCACCAGTCACCAGGGCCCGGAAGTAGAGTTGAAGGAGGGCCAGGTTGTCTTCGGGAGGCACTGTGTAGCACTGTAGGGACACTGGCAACTACAGTTGGAAATGAGAGATGCTAAGGGTTAGGAACATGTTGTTACTGCATGTCAGGGTGGATGGTTGATGGTCACATGAAACCTAATCGAGAAGGCAGACAGGTCAGGTCCTGGATAAGTACTATTCCTCTCTAACTCAAGGATTGAAGTTAAAGACCACAGAGCCAGAAAGCAGGGAAAACTGGGAACTGGTGCTGAGAGAAGCAGCTGTGAATTCCTATTGCCTAGCACTACTTGTTTAATCTACTTAAAATGAAAAATCTTAAAATGTCATGTTCAACTGCCTCAATTATATTATCAAACCTTTCTAAAGTTCATGTTCCTTAGACCAATAATTCTCTTTCTAAAGAGTTATTCTTAATTCCACACAGCAGCATATGATTAGCAGATCAATATAGCAAATTTATGTTCAATGTGGTTTATCTTGTTGTTATTAGGTGCCTTTGAGTAGGCTCCTGATTTCAATCATTCAGTATCCTCTTGTTCTACCGACTGCCTCTTAAGTCTATGTTCAGGTTTTCATGAGCACAACTAAGTGCCTGGAATTCCCATTTTTTACAATGTTATTGGTAGTTTGTTATGATCCACATAGTCGAATGCCTTTGCATAGTAAATAAAGCACAAGTAAATATCTTTCTGTATTCCTCACTTTCAGCCAAGATCCATCTGATATTAGCAATGATATCCCTTATTCCTTGTCCTCTTCTAAATACATCTTGAATCTCTAAAGCTCCCTGTTGATGTATTGCTGCAGTTGTTTTTGAGCTGCAAGTTTTTTGAAACATTTCAATTTATAGTCTGTCACTTCCTGGACCCCTGTTTACAACAGAATGACACTGCCCGCTCCTGCACCAGCCTCATGATTGTTATGTTTGAGCCCATTGCTGCAACTACCATGGTAACCCATCTCAAGGGTCTTCCTCTTTTTTGCTGACACTCCACTTTACCAGTCATGATATCCTTCTCCAGGGACTGGTGGAGGATAAGTCCAAAGTACAAGAGATGAAGTCCCACCATCAGTGCTCCTAAGGAGCAATTCAGCTGAACTCCTTCCAAAACAGATATGTCCATTCTTCTGACAGTCCACAGTATGCTCAATATTCTTCACCAACATCATAATTCAGATGCATTAATTTTTCTCCGCCTTCCTGATTTATTTTCCAGCTTTCATATGCATATAAAGCCTTCAAAAATACCATAGTTTGGTTCAGGCACACCTTTGACCTCAAAGTGACATCTTTGCTTTTTAACACTTTAAAAGAGGTCTTTTGAAGCAGATTTTCCCAATGCAATATGGTGTTTGCTCTCTTGATGACTGCTTCCATGAGCATTGATTATAGATTCAAATAAAATGAAATCTTTAACAACCTTAATTTTTTTGTGTTTATCATGATGCTATTTATTGATCTAGTTTTGAGGATTTTTGTTTTCTTTACTTTGAGGGATAATCCATACTGAAAGCTTTGATCTTCATCAGTAAGTGTTTCAAGTATTCTTAGGAAGTTGTATCATCTGCATATCACAGTTGTTAATGAGTCTTCCTTCAATTCTGATGCCACCGTTCTTCTTTTTATAGTACAGCTTCTCAAAATATTTGCTCAGCATACAAGTTGAGTAAGTATGGTGAAAGGATACAAGCCTAGTGCAGACCTTTACTGATTTCAGATCATTCGCTAACCTCTTTTTCTAACTATTGCCTCTTGTCTATGTACAGTGTTATCAGTAGTTTATGATACACACAATTGAATGACTTTGCATAGTAAATAAAGCACAAGTAAACATCTTTCTGATATCCTCCACTTTCTGCCAAGACCCAGTTGACATCAACAATTATATCCCTTGTTCCTTGTCCTCTTCAGAATCCAGCTTGAATTTCTGGAAGTTATCTGCTGATGTATTGCTACAGTCATTATTGAGCTGCATCAGTATTTTTAATACATCTCAATTTGTATTTCATCACTTCCTGGAGACTTATTTTTTGCCAGTGCTTTCGATATAGCTTGGATTTCTTCTTTCACTATCATTGGTTCCTCATCATACGGCAGAACATCAATCAATTCAATAAAGTATTATAGTGTTACTTAAAATAGGAAAAATTGGAAACAACTTATATGCCCACCAAGGGGTTCTAATGGAATTAATTTGAAAAACACCAAACAAGGGATTCTAATATAATAGCAAATATTGACTTCTTAAAATATTTAGTAAAGTGAGAAATATTTATGATATATTGTTAAATGGAAAAATATTATCCCAATTTTATAAATTGATCAAACATACAAGATTGGAAAAAGAGAAATAAAAATGTAAATAATGGTTACCACTTGGCAGTAGGGTTAGAATGACTGTAATCTTTTTTTATTTCCTTAAACTATTTTATATAAATATACTAAGCACATATATGCTTCTACATATTAAGATATATAATATTTACCACCACCACTGTCAGTTTGTTGTTCTGTGGTGGCTTGTGTGTTGCTGTGATCCTGGGAGCTATGCTACTGATATTTTAAATACCAGCAGGGCCACCCATGGTAGACAGGTTTCTGTTGAGCTTCTAGACTACGAAAGACTAGGAAGGGCAGGCAGACAACTCCTGAATCCTTAGCCACTGAAAACCTTAAGAATAGCAGTGGACACTGTCAGCACCAAAATATTGAATATTGAAACATTATGACTAGCACCAGACTATTGTCAGGTATTAGGGTCAGAAGATGAGCCCTTAAGGTTGAAAGGCACGCAAAATAGGACGGGGGAAGAGCTGCCTCCTCAAAGTACAGTTGACCGTGATGATGTGAATGGAGTAAAGCTTTCAGCACTTTCATTTGCTGATGGTGGACAACTCAAACCGAGAAGACACAGCTTGAAACATCCATTAATAACCAGAATATGGAATGTACGAAGTATGATTTTAAGAAAATTAGAAGTTGTCAAAAATGGAATGCATAAACATTGATATCCTACATATTAATGAGCTGAAATGGACTGGGATTGGTCATTTTGAATCTGAAAATCATACGGTTTACTATGCTGGGATGACAGATTGAAGAATGGCATCATCAAAAAGAACAATTCAAGATCGATCTTAAAGTATAATGCTGTCTGTAACAGGATAATATCTATACACCTACAAGTAAGTTAATACTACTTATTCAAAGTTACACACCAACTACTAAAGCCAGTGATGATGAAATTGAAGAATTCTACCAACTTCTTCAGTCTGAAATTGATCAAACATGCAATCAAAATGTATTGATAATTACTGGTGATTAGAATACAAAGGTTGGAAACAAAGAGGAAAGATCAGTGGCTGGAAAATGATAGAAACGATGCTGGAGATGACATGATAGAATTTTGCAAGACTAATGACATCTTCATTGCAAATACCTTTTTTAAACAACATAAAAGGACCTTACCAGATGAAATACACAGAAATCAAACTGACCACATCTGTGGAAAGAGATGGTAGAAAAACTCTGTATCATCAGCCAAATATGGCCAGGGGAAGACTGTGGAACCAGACCATCAATTGCTCATATGTAAGTTCAAGATGAAGTGGAAAATATTTTTTTAAAAATTTAAAAAATTACAATAAGAGTGAAAATATGACCTTGAACATATCCCCCCTGAATTTAGATGTTATCTCAAGAAAAAATTTGATGCATTAGACACTAATGATCGAAGACCATAAGAGTTACGGGATGACATATAGGAAGAAGGCAAAAGGTCATTAAGAAGACAAGAAAAGAAGGAAAAACCCAAAATGGATGTCAGATGAGACTCTGAAACTAGCTCACCAGCGTACAGATGCTAAAGAAAATAGAAGAAATGAAGAGCTGAACAGACAACTTCAAAAGGCAGCTCAAGAACACATAGTATTATAATGAAATATGCACAGAACTGGAGTTAGAAAATCAAAAGCGAAGACCGTCCTCAGCATTTCTGAAGCTGAAAGAACTTAAGAAAAAATTCAAGGCTCAACTTGCAATATTGAGAGATTCTATGAGCAAAATGGAGTCCTGGTGTGGCGCTGTGGGTTAACGTACCAGCCTGCAAAGCCATTTGAGAACTGCAAGGTTGGCAGTTCAAGCTCACCAGCTGCTCCTTGAAAACCCTATACAGGGTTGCTATGGGTCAGAACCGACTCGACAGCACTTAGCAACAACAACAATGAGCAAAATATTGAATGATGCAGAAAAGCATCAAAAGAAAATGGGAGGAATACTCAGAGTCACCGTACCAAAAAGAAATGGTTAATGTTCAACCATTTCAAGAGGTAGTATATGATCACGAGCCAATGGCACTGAAGGAAGAAGTCCAAGGTGCACTGAAGGCATTGGCAAAGAACAAGGCTCTGGGAATGGATAGAGTACAAACTGAAAATTTTCGACAAACTGATGAAGCACTGGAGGCACTCATTCATCTCTGCCAAAAAATATGGAGTACAGCTACCTGGCCAACTGATTGGAAGAGATCCATATCTTGGCCCATTCCAAAGAGAGGTGACCCAACCTAACATGGAAATCATCTGACAATATCATTAATATCACAAGCAAGTAAAATTTTGATAACGATAATTCAAAATCAGTTGCATGAGTACACTGACAGAGGTTCCAAGCCATATTCATATGAGGACATGGAATGAGGGCCATAACTGCTGATGTCAGAAGGATGATGGCTAAAAGCAGGTAATACCAGAGAGATGTTTACCTGTGCTTTATAGACTATGCAAAGGCCTTCCACTGTGTGGAGCATGACAAGCAATGATAATAGTGCAAAGAATGGATATACCAGACCAATTAATTGTGCTCATGATGAAGCTGTATATAGACCAAGAAGCAGTCATTCAAACAAGACACTGAATGGTTTAAAATTAGGAAAGGTGTGGGTCAGGGTTGTATTCTTTTTTACCATATTCAATCTGTATGTTGAGCAAATAATCTAAAAATCTGGATTATGAAGAGTGTGACATCAAGATTGGAGGAAGATTCATTACAACCTGCAAAATGCAGATGATACAACACTGCTTTCTGGAAGCAAAGAGGGCTTAAAATACTAATGAAGATCAAAGACCACAGCCTTCAATATGGGTTGCACCTCAGTGTAAAGAAAATAAAAATCCTCACCACTGGACCAATAAATAACATCAAGATAAATGGAGAAAAGATTGAAGTTGTCAAAGACTTCATTTTGCTTGGATCCACTATCAACACTCATGAAAGCAGCAGTGAAGAAATCAAACAACATACTGAATTAGCCAAATATGCTGCAAATCTTGAACACTTTCTAAAATGTTTAAGCACAAAGATGTCAGTTTGAGGACTAAGGTGCACCTGACTCAAGCCAAGGTATTTTCAGTAGTCCCATATGCATATGAAAGTTGGACAGTGAATAAGGAAGATCATAGAAGAATTGATGTATTTGAGTTATACTGTTGTAGAAGAATATTAACAATACCATGGACTGTCAGAAGAACAAACAAATCTGTGTTGGAAGATGTACTGCCAGAATACTCTTTACAAGCTAGGATGGCGAGACTTCAGACATATTATCAGGAGGGACCAGTCGCTAGAGGACATCATGTTTGGTAGAGGGTCAGCAAAAAAAAAAGGAAGACCCACAATGAGATGTACTGTGACAGTGGCAGCAGCAATGGGTTCAAGCAAGGATTGTGAGTATGGCGCAGGACCACGCAGTGTTTCAGTTTGTTGTGCATAAGGTTGTCATGAATCGGAATCAACTTGATGGCACCTAACAACAACAACGTAAGTTGACCAAATAAGTTATAAAAGAAAAATAAGAACTAAAACTTTTAAAAAAGAGTAATTCCCTACAGTTTACAAGTTTAAACTCTTTATACTGATATCCAAGATTATGCTTCTCAACCTTGCTTTCAACAAGTTTTGAAATAGAAATCTCTGCTCTAGCTTCCTCCCTCCTCTTATCCCCTACCTCCTGCCTCTGAACCTCTGTTTATGTTGTTTCATTAGGAACATCTTTTCACCTTCTCAACAATCACAATTCAGCCTAACTTTTGGTCTCCAAACTTCTTCTACAGAGCCTTCTCCTTATGGGAAGACCACTTTTATCTTTCTCTTCTCTGAATACCGATATTTAAATCTGAACAATTCAGGACCATGATGATTTTTAGTAAATCTTACCTGGATTGTAACACCTTATGAACAAGGACCCATGCCTTATTAATAACAAAGAATGAAACAAGCTGCTAACCTCAGGGACAGCAGGTCGAAACTACCAGCTGTTCTGCAGGAGAAAGATGAGGCTTTCTGCTCCCATAAAGAGTTAAAGCCTCAGAAACCCCATACAGGGTTGCTATGAACCGACTCCACGGCGCATAACCACCACCACCACTATATGCCAAAAGGAGCTCTGATAGCATAGTGGACTGCTTGGCTGCTAACTGCAAGGTTAGTAGTTCAAATCTACCAGTCTCTCCATTGGAGAAAGATGAGGCTTTTTGCTCTCATCACCATTTACAGCCTTGGAAACCTATACAGGGTCATTATGAATCGGAACCGACTCAGTGGCACACCACCACCACCACCATCAATATATGCCAGATACCATGTTAAACTCTTTTATGGATTTTGTTTCTTAATCCTCTTAAGAGTTCCTTAAGAGGTAAGAGGAGGATTCCTTAGGTCCATCAATGCACCCCACTGCTCTGGAATGCCCCCAGGACTGCTGCTGGACTGAGAACATACCTGGGTCAGAGGCAGGCCCAGAGCTCGCAAGGCCCCAACATGTTCTCCAAAGAGGGCAAGGCGCAAGGTCACACTGAACCGACGCTGCAGAGGAAGGAGGACCAGCGCCCCAAAGAGGTGGTCTCCAAAGGAGACAGCCTCAAAATGCTCCAGGAAGCTGGTATAGAGGTCAGAGAAAGATGTCAGGCCAGGAAGTGGACAGTCCAGGTTGAGGTATGGCAGCACTTGGGGCTGGCAGAGCCGGGCTAGAAGGGCTGCCACTAGACGCTGTATTGGGGTCTCCCGGAAGAGCTCACTGTCCACCAGGAAGACACACATGAGCCGTGCCAGGCGGGCGGCAGGAGGTACAGTCCCGAGGGCCTGAGGGCGCCAGCTCTCTAGGACTAGTACCCACTGCAGGGCCCGCATGGCTGTGCCCACAGTGTCAGTAAGAGGAGGTCCCAAGGGGGTGTCTGAGGCTCGGTGGTAAAGATGGATCAATGGCAGGAAGGGCCAGTCAGTTGGCAGCAGCGGCTCTTTGGGAACAGGCAGCAGCAGGGCTGGGAGTCGCTGTGCTTCCCCTCGGTACAAAGCTTGAGAGGCCAGCAGGCTGGCTCGAGCCAGTGAGCAGTGGGTCAAGTAGCAGCTACGGATGCTGGGGAGGTCCTGGCAGGCCTGGGCTAGCAGGGACCCTCGCCCACATCCAGCATCTCCATGGTTCTCTAGGCACAGCTGGTCCGAGAAGTCAGCGGCCTCTGGACCACCCGAAGTTCTTTCCCTATAACAGAACCCAAAAGTGAAAAATGTGGGCTAGAACCCAATACCTAGAAGGTCTTGCCAGTTGTCCAGGCTTACCAGAGGCTGCTAGACCTAATCCTATTCTCCTAGTAACCTCCCTATTAACCTGCACTGTGGAAAGCAGTTTAGAGCACGGACGCTAGAGCCAGCTGCCTACATCATTTCTGTTTACGTAAATTCTCTGTGCCTTAGTTTCCTCATAGTAAAATGGGTATGATAATATGTAACAGTACCTATCTCATATTACAACACAGGCAAGTACTTATGGGAGACAAGAGAGTAACTGTCAGCTACTACATGTCTATGTCTAGTTTAGTTATCATTTTTAGCTATACAGACACACTGAATTCTCATTATAATTCTTTGGTGTGGCTAGCCTCACCTTTACACTACTAAAGAGTAAACTGAGGCTCAGAAAGGTTAAGTATAATCTATGGAAGAAAAAGAATCAAGCTTAAGTCTTCTGGCTCCATATCTCAGGGCTACTGCGTCAACTTCAGCAGCCTCCCAAAGGACTGAGTTGATACCACCAACCTAGACTTACGGGAGGAATTCTAGCCGGAATACGCAGCTCAATAGCAGCTCATGGGCAAGGTGCTCGCTTCCGGGCAGGAGCCAGCTCAGCAAGGCCAAGGACCCACCATGAAAAATGGTAGCATTGGTGGCTGGCACTGGCTGGAGTGCTGCCTGTGGGTGAAACAGCAGGGGGACTGTTCAGTGGCAGGGAAGGGTGTGAGGGGACAGAGCAGAGAGAAATGAGGATAAGGATATAAGGAAGAGCATGAATTCTGGAAATGTCTAGAGGAAAGTAGAAGTTGTGTGGCTTGGCAGAAGAAGTATAACTCCTACAGAAACAGAGGGGGATAATCGGGAGTGAGTGAACTGGGGAACCCACCGCTCTCTGAGCCAGAGAGAATGCCAGGTACTGCAGGTGGCACTCATGGCGGAAGGCCCACGCGGAGAAGGGTGTGAGTGGTGGAGCAGCCACAGGAGCCACACACTGGAGGATGTAGTTCTGCAATCCTGGAGAAGCCAATACGGCAGCCAGCTGAGGAAAAACAAGCTTAGTGAGGTCTAGAAATTGACATGGAGCCCTTCTGTCCACCAGGAACACACACAAGCTGTGCCGGGCAGGCAGTAGGAGGCACACCCAGAGGACCCACCTCCAGAGCATACTCAGGGAAACGGGTGCTGGCAGAAGGGGTACCCTTTTCCCTTCCTTTCTGATTCCTGCCCCTAAGTACCCAGGGCTTACCTGGCCACATAGCCCCTTATGGATCCGAGAAAGGGTGTTGCAAAGAGAGAGGAGGGCGGTGAGGAATGGGAAGGGTGAGGCTGAACCAGCCAGGCTAAGAGGGGGGCAGCCTCCTGCACAGCCCAGTGCCACAAGGCTGGGGAGAGCTTCAGGTGCCGGGGCACAGAACAGTGGGTTGCAGCGAGGGGAGCAGTGCCTGTGGGCAGAATGGAGAAGCTGACAGGGGCTGTGGGAAAGGCCACCCTGGTGGCCTGGGTACACCAGGCTGGGCAAAAGCTACTTGGTCGGCCTGTGACCCAGGTTAGCAGGGGTATGGCTGTATAGATAAAGGCGCATATTTCTGGGGTTTGGACCCCTGGAGCACAGAGCTCTGTAGAATAGGGGCCCTAGTGTGGACCATGCTCTGTGTCACTTGATCTCAGAGCTCCTGTGACTGCTGTCCGGCTGAGGGGTCCCAACCTGGATGAAGCAGGAAGCTGGACCCAGGCATCCCACAGGAGAGAAACTGCCTCCCTTCCATCCACTACACACACACATACAGAGTACATACCTAAGGGAGTCCCACAGTCTGCCCAGAGTGGGCTGGCTCAGCAGGGGCAGTAGCAGCTCCTCCGACAGACATTCCATGTCCTGAAGCCAATCCCCTGGGCACAGGCTTGGCTGGGGAACCAAGGGCTCATTGAGCTGATAGCAGGGAACACCCATTCTCCTAGACCCTATACTTCCAGGTCAATCTCACGACTCTAAGAGGCCAAACAAGGCCATCTGGGGCTATGCTTTATGACCCTTCTGGAGGAGAGAAGCCCTGAGTTGCTCTAGCACTTGCTGTCTAAGAGTCCTGAGAACATGAAGGTGACAGGGAGGCTGAGCTGCTGCTTGGGGCTCTTCAAGGAACCACCAACATGGCTCCTTGAAGCTCTTACTGGGGTACATACTGAGGTGGAAAAGTAAAGGTAAGAAGGTGGAGAGTAGAGGAAGGTGGGAATGGGGAAATGAGGAGGGAAGGAGTGGAGAGGTGGAGACAGACAGGCAACTTGTGAGTAGAAGGCAGAACCCATGGAAATTGTAGAAGGTAAGCCACACTCACTTGCTGGTTCCAAGCCTGGTAGTAGGCGTCCAGGAAGAGCAAGCAGGCTGTGGGCACTGGGCCCAGAGCATTCCACGTCTCAGGTTGGGGTAGCAACTTCAAAGTCTGTCTCAGACATGGCTCCACAAGAGGCCGGAGTCCAGACACCTGTGTCCAAGTGATCAAGGAAGGGTTGCCCGACAGGCTGGCCTCAGCAGCGTCACTACAGGAGTGCCAAAAGTGCCACAGTGAAGATCCTGCTGTGTCACACCTCTCCCTGTGGAGGAACAGTCCTGCCTATCTTGGCAGGAATTCCCTATTTGCAGCCTCTGGACTAGAGACCTACCTGAGGGGCTCAGGGTTAGTGCTGCTGGTTGCCAGAGTCAGCCGGGTGAGGAGAGTGAGCAGTGAGGCAATCCGTTGCATGGCCAGGGGTCGAGGGGGCTGGGTGGCTAGCTCCTGAGGCACAGCTCGCAGGGCCTGTACCAGTACTGGGTATAGCTCCCTAGGAGATAATGTCACTACACCTCATTGTATGCAGGGACAGGTAAGTCAGAAGGCCTGGTCCATCCCAGGCAGTTGAGTCTGATTAGGGAGAGTCAGGAGGGAGATAGTCCCAAGGGCTGGGCCCTCTTGGAAGACTTCAAGAGGGAAAGAAGGCTGGCATGTGAAATAAGAAGGGAGAGTCACTAACAGGAAATTTCACTAAGTTACCAATGCCTCTGTGCATGGACTGTGGCTAGCCCAGGTTCATTCCACTCTTCCTTGCCTGGTTCTGACCCCCAAGCTTTCCTCATACCCATGAGTCCCTTCTTTCCCATTCTCAGCCTTCCTCTAAGTTTGGGGCCTTGAGCAAGGCTGAGCACCAGACTAGGACAGAAAGGCAGAACATAAGGGGTAATTAAGGAAGCCCACCTTCTGCCTGTTCTCACCTGTAAAGGTCACTGCCCTGGCCATAGGAGGCGGCCACAGCCCATAGACGGAAAGCTTCAGTGCTCAGCATCTCAGCTTCCTCTGGGGGCAAGGACAGTTCTTGGGGCGCCTCAGCTATGAAGCGGCACAGACGGCTCCGAAGATCAAAGCTGTTCAACTAGGGTGAGGCAGGAGTCATAAGTCCTACAAGTCTTAGGTTCCCTAAGGAGCTTGGCTTAACTCATCCCTCACTATTCTAGGGCACTCAGACCACAGGATCATATCTCTGGGTTGAGGTGGGTGAAATGACCTCATCCATTTACCTGACCATCCTTCTCCTCAGCAAATACTTGCTGGGTTACCTGACTACACGTGATAAGTATTTATCTGTGTGTGTTATTTTAGGTCTTTGGCTTTTTAGGTCCTCCCCTCACAACATGAGATCAGGCTGCGTAACCTCCAGGTGGTAGGTTCCTCGCCTGGTGATTTGTGCAGCACTTCTAAGTAACTGGCCCAGAGAGGTAGAGAGAGGTAATAAGAGCTGGTCACCCAGAATCCAAGGGCTATGCTCAGCCCCAGTTCAGCCTTGTTTCCTAGCCCCCATCCACTATCCTGGGTCCTGCTCACCAGCCTGGCAGCGATATTCCTGCCAGCCGAGGCCAGGACACGAAACAGCTTCATGGCAGCAGCACAGGGCACTCTGTGTAGACTGGGAATAGGCTCTACCCCCACGGGGGCCCAGCTGGTAGGTAGGAACTCTTGAACCACGGTCTCTATCAGCCGAGGGCACTCCAGGACCTATGGAGGATGAGGGAACACGGCAGGGAGGGAGGGAGACTGAAGGTAAAGACCAGGTCCAGCCAGGCTCGATGCCTATTCCCTGTTCTCTGTCTCACCCTTGTGGCTGACTCTAGGGAATGCCGGGCCAGGCGGGTAAGCACAGCCAGGAGGTCAAGGACCACTGCAGGACCTGGGCAGGTCACCTCCAACACATAACGCAGCCGAGGCAGCAAGTTGGTGGCCAGGAGTCCCTGGGGACCAGAGAGATTAAACACATTGCCAAATGTAGCCAGACCCAGGGCACTGATCACACTCCTGCCCTCCCTTCCCCAACATGTGTCTGCCTTCGGGTCACAGGCTGGGGGCTGGACTTGTGGGAATGAAGCTGGGCTGGACTGGGCTCACAGCTGTCTCAGCACCTTTACCTTGATGATATCATGTCGGGCCAGGTCAGGTGGGGGCTGGCCTCCTTCCTCAGAACTTTTCTTTTTTGCCTTTTCTGCTGGGGGCTCTTCATCTTCATCCTCGTCGTCCTTGTTCTCCTGGCTGGGCATCAGTGGGAACACCGAAGCGCCATGGTACCAGGAGAAGGTGCTGTCTAGAAGCTCCTGCCACAGAAAGGACGGGGTAGAGGAAGACAGGGCTAGGCCAGGAAATGGGTGCAGGAATAGAGAGCAGAAGCCTCCCACAGAGAATGGAAAGAAAAGGCTTCTGGGCCTGGAAAGTCTTAGCAATGAGGGCATGCCCAGAACAAGGAATAAGGACCTGACGTTTCCAGGCCCCATCCCTAGCCCTGTTGTACCTCATCTCCAGGGGCCACCAACAGAGCCTGGAGGGCCCGGACTGCGGCTGCAATGACTCCATCCACTCTGTCATCCAGGGAGAAGCGTAGTAAGAAGAGGAAACCAGCATCCAAAAGGAGGCGCAAGACGCTGCCCACCAGCTGGCCCCTAAACTCACCAGCCTGGGCCTGAGGGCACAAAGATAAAACTTTGCAAACGATGCTAAAGTTGGTCTTTAACTTGCCCACCTGTGACCCTGGGTTTGCCCCAGCCCCATCTGGTCTATAGACCACTGGTGTCTGGGCTGGTGAGTCAGAATGCAAAGGGAAGGAGGTGGGGAGGTCTAAGGTCCAGGGAGGGGTTGGCAGGCCTGGGGAACAGTGGTCCACTCACCCTGCTAATGATCTGGGCCAACACTTGCAGCGCTAGTGCCCTCTGCTGGGAAAGCTGGCTGCGGGTCAGGTGGAACAGCTCCTGGAGAGAGTATCCTGCTCTCTGGGGCAGAAACAAGAAGTCAGGAGGGGTCAAGATGCACCCTCAACAAGTACCCAGCAGTCCCTATGTGCCAGACACTGGCTGGGTGTCCAGGGAGACACAAGGCTAAGTCAGTGACGTCTCCTACACCTGCTCTCCCTGGAGCCATAACTAGTACAGAAGACAGAACTCACAAGTCACTTCAGCATTAGGCAGAGGGGGAGGAATGTAGTGATTGATGTGTAATTTGCAACCAGAGAATAGGAGAAAAGAGGGATCTGGAAAAGTGACCTGGTCTCTATGAATGAGTGGGCAAAAGTAGTGCCTGGAAAAGCTCCAGGAACTGTGTCCTGGAGGTGTGAGGGGAGAAGGAGCAGACAGGTGGAGGGAGGCAGAGACAGACCATGGAAGCCAGACCTGATTCTGTGAGCAGACGTGAGCCAAGCTTTCTAAGGCACAGTCTGATCTGGGCCACAGGAAACCAGCATGTCAGCCCATGGAGGATGGAAAAGGAAAGACATGGCGATTCAGCAGAGAAGAGGGAACAATGTTCTTATCTAAGAAGCCTCATAGAGAGGTAACAGACATAGAACTGGTAAGTTCTGGCAGCTAACTAAAATGTGAGGGGAAGAGAAGGATTTTGAGCCTAAGAAAATGAATGAATGGCACAGGCATCAATTAGAACAAGGGCACACGAGGTTCAAGGCAACTAGCCAGAGGTCCTGTTCCACACAGTTGTTACAAGCGCTTACCAAGAGTGGGCCCACGCCTCACCTCTGCCTCCTCTCCATGGTGGTGCAGACCCAGGTGGGTGGGCAGGTCCACATCAGGGGCCAGTAACTCTCCCTGAAGACTAAATCGGGCCTGCATCCTCTAGTGGGAAGAGAGACAGGAATGGCTAGAAGCCACAGCAACATCCCCACAGCCGCAGCTCACCTTTAAGCCCTGGCCTCTCGGAGCTCAAGTGCTCTGTCTGCAAACTGTACTTCACTGGCCTCAGGGGCCAGGCAGGGTGATGGGAAAGGAGGTGATTGCAAAAGAGAGACGTTTCTCAGGCTCAGGGGAAGAGAAGGGTCTGAGGTCTGGGTGCTGGGGCAGGAGAAGCAGCCCCTTCTGACCCACCCCTTTAAGACCAGCTGGCCTCCTCACCTCCTGTGTCTGTTGCTGCCGGAGTGGGGGCAGGTCCCGGGTCCAATGGAGCTTCTCCAGCTCAACAGTGTCCATGTGCAGCCATTCCTTATGGGGGGTCATGGGCAGTGCCAGAGCTAGAAAGATGGGAACATGGGAGCATTTCCTGAGGGGCTCAGCTCACTGGTCTACAGGGATCCCAGTCATCACCCAGCTCTGCCCCCAGGGCTTTGCACCTCTGCCCTCAGCTAGAGCTAAATGGCATAGCCCAGGGGCTGGAACTCCAAGTAACTGGGCAAATGTCTCAGATATGGCAGAATATACCTAGTCCACTAGGATCTAGCCCCTTGATCCAACAGATTTGTTGGGAAGAATAGAATAGATAGGAAGAGAAAAGGAAAAGAAAGAGGAGAAAAGGGAAGACCATATATATGTGGAGAAATGTAGCTCCACAGCCCTCTGGAGCCTCAGAATAGGGAGTGGGGATCCTGAGAGAGGCAGCCATACTGCAGGATGCAAAAACACACAACCACAACATCCTCCTCATTCCTTACCTCTACCTCCACCTACTCAGTTAGCTGGCCTGGTGCTCCTCCGGAACCATAATTTAATTTCTTCTTTTGTTAATCACTAATCATTCAGTTTCTAGGAAACGAATGCTCCCACACATCTCTCTCCTTCAGGTCTGTTATGTTCATATAGAACTACATCAGACCCTTGCTCTCCATCACCCTGGCCCAGGGAGCAGAGGTAGAAAGAACTGTGGATGGATGGAGCCAGGCCAGAGCAGCTACAGCAAAGGCAGGGATAGGGAGTAGGGGCACTTAGCCATCACACCTCTTACCAGGAAAGGGGGAGAAGGCACACTAACAGGACCAGGAAACAGGAGCATGTGCAGGAAGAAGATACGCATCAGCAAGTGACCATTGAGTGGGAGTCAAGAATGAGGGTGAATGTTAAATGTCCAAGGACAGAGAAGTTTCTTTCATTTGCCAGGCCCAGGAGAAATGACACTTTCTTCCCCCAAAAGATGTTCCCTTCTCCCACAACCTGTGGCTCCTGGCTCCAGTTCATCCTTTTTCCTGGGCTCACTGGCAGAAGTTGGCATAGTGGGCTTCTTTCTGATGACCTCAGCAGAAGGTCCTCCAGGCTTCTGCCCCTCTGTGGTCTTCTCTCCTACTTGCTCAGGGGTGTGGCTGTGAGATCTCAAGAAGGCAATCAAGCTGGGATCTAGAGGCCAGCGGGGAGGGTGGAAGGTGAGAGACAGCAGATCCTTCCTGCCTCCTACAGATCTTAAACCTGTAAACCTGTGGTGCCCAGGCAGGACAAGCTGCTTCCCAGTCCCGGCTGAGCTTCTGACACCTGTAGGGTGGGGCCTGTCTGTCCACCTTTCCCTCTGCCCCTCAGTCTCCTGGTTCGAGTGTCTATGCTTACCCCTATGTGGGTAGCCAGGCCAGAACCCAAAATGAGCAGCTGTGTAACAAATGAATGAATACTGACTAGGGCCAAAGAAAATGTTTAGGGACATCATTTCCCTCACTTACTTCCAGCTAATTTATTTACTCACAAATATTTAATAAACATCTACAACATGCTGGGCTCCATGTCAGTGCTGGAGTCCCAGTGTGGTACTGTAGGCTTAGTACTTGGCTGCTAAACACATGGTCAGCTTCAAACCCACCAGCCGCTCCTTGGAAACCCTAGACAAGGTTGCTATGAGTCAGTACTGACTCAACAGCACTTAACAACAACATGTAGGTGTTAGGAGCCCTGGTAGCACAGTATTTAAGTACTTGGCTGCTAACTGGAAAGGTCAGTGATTCGAACCCACCAGCTGCTCCAGAGAAGAAAGATGTGGCAGTCTGCTTCCATAAAGTTTGCCTTGGAAATACAAGGGGCAGTTCCACTCCGTCCTACTGGATCACTATAAGTCAGATAGTGATGGATTTAGGTTTTGGGATATGTTCTTAAGTGCCATCAATTCAGTTCTGACTCAGAGCAATGCCATAGACATTTCCAAGGAGTGTCTGATGGGTTTGAATTGCTGACCTTACAGTTAGCAGTCCAGTGCTGATCCTACAGTGCCACACCAGGATAAGTACTGGATACACATATAGTAGGGGACAAGCAGAGACTAAAACGAGGTGTAGTATAGCACACCAGTTGCTCTGGAGTTGGTCCTGACTTATGGTGACTCCATGTGTGTCAAACGTGACCGTGGGGTTTTCAATGGTTGATTTTTCAGAAGTAGATCACCAGGCCTTTTTTCTGAGTTACCTGTGGGTGGGTGGATTCAAACCTCCAACCTTTCAGTTAGCAGCTGAGCGTGTCAATCACATGTACTACCCAGGGTCTCCAGTTTAATGAAATGTTGAATAATGAGACCATTGATAACGTGAGAAGGTGTATAGTGGTTAAGATCAGAGCCTGTGGGGTTAGATAGGTGGTGGTGGTGATGGTGATGTGCGTGGAGTCAGTTCCGACTCCTAGAGATCCTGTATGGAGTCTCCGAGGCTGTAAATCTTTAAAGAACAGAAAGCCTCATCTTTCTCCTGCAGAGCAGCTGGTATAATCGAACTGCTGACCTGGCGGTTAGCAGTCCAACTCATAACCAGAGCTCTGTGGGGTTAGATAGACCTAGAATTAAATCCCATCCTTTCCTTTACTAGCTGTGTGACCTGGAGGAAAAATTTCCTCAAGTCTCAGGCCTCAGTTTTCTTCATAAGTAAAACGAAGCTAACACCATCTACCACAAGGACTAGTTTGAATACAGAATGAAATTACGCATATCAAATATTCAGCACAGTGCCTAGCAGACAGTAAGCCTTCCTTACTAAATGACATGCCCTTCCTCGCCCGGCCCCATACCAAGCTGAGCCAGCAAACACTGCTGTTCCTGCAGGATTTCCTCAGGACTCATGGCTTGTAGTCTCGCTACATTCTCCTTATGGATAGTCTGCACTTCCTGTTCAGCCTTCTGGCCTGTGAGCCCCTTCCCTGTGACCAGGTGTGGTCCCTGGAAGCTGTGGCCGCTCCCCAGAAGCTGGTAGCTCTGGTCCTCAGGAGTGGGTGCCTCATATGTCACAGCACCTGGAAAAGTGTACGATTAGTCTCAACAGATCTAACTGGGTCCTCTGGCCTGCTTCTCTAGCCCCATTAAACCTGGAGACAGGTATAGGTCCCACAGTTGTCCAGGACAGAGTAGAAATTTCCAAGGACTAGCATGGGACACCAGACACCCTGGGGAGGGGTGGGGTGGGGTGGGACTGGTCTCTCCATTCACTCTTTCCTTAGGACTTTTGTGAGGTTTCCCTCAGAAAAATCCTACTTTCTGATTCTTCTCCCAGATATCTAGGCAGCATTCTGCCCCACTAATTATAATAACTTCCACAATCAAAGGAGTTTGGGGCTACAACTTTGTTTTTCTAGTCTCTATCAGATACTCCTCCCCTCTTCCCTTACTGAATGTAAGTGGTGGACTCAAGCCTCCCGTAGGAAGTACTCAAAGTGAGGACATGGGATGACTTTCTCCTGAAATGGCTCAAATGCATCCCAAAATGACCCTATGATCATGTCTTCTAAAAAATGCTGAGATTCAATTCCAGCTCACCCTCTGCTAGGTCCCTGGTAGGCACAACTTCTCCAGCTGGTAAGACCCTGGCTTCAGACACCCTCCTTGCTGCAATCTCTTGGGCAAAGATGCTTCTCTTACCAGATACCGCCGGCTTTCCCTAAGGGACAAAAACAAAACCTAGGTTATTGATATGCAGTACCCTACTCTCCTTTCAACTCCTTTATAGCAATGTTTGTTTCTGGAACAAAGATAAAAGGTTCAATCTTTAGAGGTCACAACCCTGGTCCTTAGGAAAGCAAGGCTCTAATGAAGCACAGGTCTTTAAAACATCAAACTTCAGTGAATGTTGGACAAGTAATGTAAATGTCTGATAACAAAAGAGGGGAGTGGCCGATTTTGTAGTCCAGGAGCCATCAAGGGAGATCCCTGGAACCATCAAGGGAGAAAAGCGAAGTGTGAGACCCTGTCGGGGGAGGCAGTGACACTAGGGATGGAGGTACAGACAATGATGTGGACAGAAGGAGGGGCTGGGGACTCTGGACTCAGGGAGGGAGAGGGGCTGTGTGCTGGCGGCTGGGGGGCAGGCCTGTGGGATGTACCCTTTGGTTGTTTGATGATGCACACAGGGGATTGTTATCATTGCAATGAAACAAAATACGATAGGATGAATGTACAGATAATGTTCAGCATGTAAACTAATACATAATTCACAATTTTAAAAAACTTAAAAAAATAAAAGCATGTCAGACTTGGGTTGGATTTCTGGCTCCTCTGCCTATTAGAAAGGTAGTGCTGGTATTTACCTCTTTGAGGGCCTGAAAAATGGGGGAAATGATACCTACCTTACAAGGTTGCTATAAGGACTAAATGAGGTAATGTGTTCACAGTGCTGAGTATGGTGCTGCTTCATAACTGGGAGTGCTTGTCATTATGAAGACTCTACCTGGGGAAGGTACATTATGAGAGTCACCTGACTCTCTCCTAGGGTTACTCCTGCCTACCTGTCTCTCCTGTGAGCGGTGGAAAACCGGGGGGAAGGCAACACCACTGGACACAGGCAGTTTCACAGTCAATGAACTTGTGTCTCGTTCCTACAGCAATAAAGCACACAGTAGTGAAGATGGAGAGACTTTCCTGGGCTGGATTCTACCACACTAGGACCAAAGTTCTTCATTGTAGGGGCGGGTCATGAGCTGACCTTGCCTCTCAGGGTTCAGTGATTTTATCCCTGGTCCTAACCTGACTGCAGAAGGAAAACGTTCTACCCTTGTGAGGCACCCTCCTCTCATAGGGCTCACCATCCCACCCAATTTCCTTGGTGTTCTAGGACACCTTGTTCCCACTCTGCAAGTGTGAGACGCACAATAATCTTAGTCAAGACAGCAGTGATGTGTTCATCGTGCCTGTTCAGCCACTCCTCAGCATTCTCATCCTCTGGCAGGGGGCAGCCGGGGCTGGCTCTGGCTCTCTTTGGGGGAGCAGGGACCAGAGCTGGGGGCACATCTGGTAGATCTGATAAAGGAAGAAAAAAAACCAGACACGAGGATACTCGTCCCTTCTCAGGAAGAGGCTCAGGGTTGGTAGGGAACAAAATTAAGGGAGCTATTGTGTGGCCCTGACTCAAGCTGTGTAAGCTCAGGCAAGATATTTAACCTCTCTGAGTCTCAGTTTCTTCATATATCAGATGTAGTGTCTGCAGTAACGATTGGGCAGAACCAAATCACACCAAGAAGAGTGAGAAGGCCCCGAAGCAGCAGCTTCTTTCCTGCTCAGCTTCATACCCACAGCTACTCACTGTCCAACATCACCACATCCCGATGATCCTTCAGTGGACGTTGGTCCAGGTGAGCATCACCACTTTTCCTACTTCCTTTCTTGACCAAGCATACTGCTGGGGCTGTACCAGTTGCGAGAAACTGATTCTGGAAGTGCAGTAGATCCACCTCGGACTCCCCTGGCTTTGGTCTCGACAGCATCTTGTCACTGCAGTTGCTTCCTCAGTGCAACCCTGGCTAGCAGTGTTTCCGTGTGAGGATTCTCCTGTACTCACCCCTGCAACAGGAATAAACACAATAGCCTCTCTGTAGTTGAACCCAAAATCTCTTTATTATGCCTCAGAAAAGACTGCTTTTTCCTTGGAATCATGTAAACTCATCCCTTTCATTCATACCTTATTGCCATTCCCTCCCTATTTAATCCTCTGTGATATCATCAGTCTAGCAACAATATTTACTGCCTACTTAGGTTGTTAACAATCTGATATTGATATAACTCTTAGAAACAAGCAGGATTCCTAAGAGGTCAGGCAGATAAGTAAGTCATAATAGAGAGTGGTGATTCTGTATCAAACTGGAAAGAACATGCTTGGCCTAAAGGTGTTCAAGCTATTAAAAACCTTGGGTTGTAAAGATCAGTATACCAAAACCAGTTTGTATGTCTATACACTAGCAAAGAGTAATCAGATAATGAAATTTAGAAACAATTTCATTTTTAAAATAGCATCAGAAAGGATAAAATACTTAGGGATCGACATAATCAAAGAGGTGTAAGACTATAAAACACTGTTGAAAGAAATTAAAGGCATAAATAAAAAGAAAAACATCTAGTTCATGGACTGGAGATTTCATATTGTTAAGAGGGCAACAGTCATCAAATCGAAATACAAATTTAATACAATCTGTGACACAATTCTGCCTTTTTTTTTTTTTTCTCCAGAACTCACAAGCTAACCTTAAAATTCACACAAGAAACCCAGAGCAATCTTGAAAAAGAATACATATGAAGGGCTTAACTTTCTAACTTCAAAACTACAAAGCTACAGTAATTGAGTCTGTGTGGTAATGGCATAAGGACAGACAGATCAGTGGAATTAAGAGCCCAGAAATGAGCTCATACATCTATGGTCAACTGATTTTCGGCATGAGTACCAAGACAATTCAGTGAGGGAAAAGTATTCTTTCTAACAAAATACTATTGGGACAACTGGATATCCACATGCAAAAGAATGATGTTGAGTACCTATCTCATACCAGTGAACAAATTAGCTCAAAATCGATCCAATACCTAAATGTAAGTACAAAAACTACAAAGCTACTAAAAGAAATACAGGTGTAAATCTTTGTGGTCTTGGGCTAGACAATGGTTTCTTAGATATGACAAAAAATGCAACTAAAGAAAAGACAGGCAAATTGGACTTTATCAAAATTTACAACTTTTGTACATCAAAATGAAAAGACAAGTTACAGAATAGGAAGAAATAGTTACAAATCACATATCTAATGAGGGAATTTATATCTAAAATCTATAAGGGACTCTTACAACTCAATAAAAAAAGATAAACCACCCAATTAAAAAGTGAGCAAAGGATATGAATAGACTTTCACCAAAGAAGATATATAAATGGTCAATAAGAACATGAAAAGATGTTCAACATAATTAATCATTAAAACCCCAAAACTAAACTGTATTCAAGTCAATTTCGACTCATGGTGACCCTATGTAGGGTTTCCAAGACTAAATCTTTACATGAGAAAATAGCCTTATCTTTCTCCCCTGGAGTGATTGGTGGGTCTGAACGTACAACTTTGCAGTTAGCAGCCCAATGTTTATCTCACAGTGCCACCAGGGCGCCTCTAATTAATCACTGTTGTTGTATGCTATCCAGCTGGTTCCAGCTTATAGAGACCCTAAAAAAGGTTTCTGAGGCTGAAAATCTCAACAGCGTCATCTTTCTCCCACTGAGCAGCTGGTGGATCTAAACCACTGATCCTCAGGTTAATAGCCCAGTGTGTAACCCATGACACTACCAGGATTCCTAAATTAGTCATTTGTTGTCGTTAAGTGCTGTAGAGTAGCGACCCTGTATAGGGTTTCCAAGGAGCGGCTGATGAACTTGAACTGCTGATCTTGCAGTTCAAACTGACCTTGCAGACCAGTGCATTAGCCTATAGCACCACACCAGGACTCCAAATTAATCATTAAAGAATAACAAAACAATCACCAGAGAGTGTGACTGTAAAAACATTATCAAAGTCTTTTTTCAGTGTTTACTCTGGGAAGAGGGGTATATAACAAGCTGGAAACACAAAGAACTATACATATGATTTAGTCTCTGGGTTTAAAAAGCTTACAGAGGAGACAAACACAGACAAAGTTAAAATACTGGATTTTTCACTAATTTCTGTTTCATTACTTCTCTTTCCTGTCATGAGCCTAAAAATTTTTAACTGGGGGCTAGGGCTGAGAGTGAAGTGGTCAGATGGCCTGAAGTGCAGCTAGCTTGGATGGCTAAGTGACCAGATGAAAATAAAGATGTTAAATACTGTGAGCAAGTATTAACTGCTATAATTTGATGAACTGTACTTTTGCTTATGGATGTAGTTGCTTAAAATTCCAACCTGAATGGTAGGATTCTTCCTATCAATAAATGACCATGGTGCAGATCAAAAATGTTTCTGAGGAAGAAAAGGTAATGTAGCCTCAGTGTACTGGGTTGATAGGGGCGAGCAATTTATACATTGGCTGTAAAAAATTGGGAGGCTATGAAGGCATGAAGTAGCTGGCTTATAAGCTTTTATGAGTGTGCTTAGTTTCAGAATGAGGGAGGTAAGATAGAATTCCCCACTGAATAGCTGTCATCTTTTCCAGATGGATGAAAGGGGAATTTGAAATAACAAGACCAACTTTACAAAAAATACAAAAGGATGCTCTTTAGGCTGAGAAACAACAACAGCAGACAACAACCTGATATTGCCATGTATGACACCACCACCCAAAACTCAATCCAGACATAAAGTACTATTTAAAGTAAAACAAACCTGTAAGATTGAATATAGGGAACCAGAATTGTTGATTTATAAAGAGGTCAACTAGTATGGTGCTGTGGGTTAATGTGCTGGACTGTAGTTGGTTTGAACCACAAGGTCAGCAGTTCAAGCTCACCAGCTGCTCCTTGGAAACCCTATACAGGGTTGCTATGGGTCAGAACTGACTCGATGGCACTTAACAACAAGACACAAAGCAAAAAGTGGGAAGAGTGTAGATACAGAACTTGCAAATGTCAAGGAAGTCAAGTAGATTTCAACATAAAATAGACTGTCTAAAAGAAGAAAAAAATTAATAAATTACAGGGTAACCTCAAAGAAAATGAATGCATCTTCATATTAAAATAAAAGAGGAAATCAGAAAGATTTAGTAGACATTAACACAACTAAAACAATGAAAATGAAAAGAAAAACCACAAACAAAATGAACTCAGCACAGGAAATAATGTGGAACAAAGAAACCAGCAGCATCACAAAAAAACCACACAGAAAAATGACAACAATCAATTCCATTGTTTTTGTTTAAGTGCCATTGAGTCAGTTCCAACCCATGGTGACCCTGAACCACAGACTTTGTGGTTCAAATTGACTTTGCAGACCAGCACACCACACCAGGACTCTAATTTATACCTATCAATAATTACACCAAATGTAAATGGATTAAATGTGCCAATCAAGAGACAGAGAGTAGCAGAATGGATAAGAAAACAGGATCTTTCAATATGCTGTTTAAAAGAGATACACTTTACATACAAAGATAAAAACAGACTCAAAAATCAAAGTATGGGGAAAAAATATATTAAGCTAATGGCACTAAAAACAAGCAGGAGTAGCAATTTTAATATATAATAAAACAGATTTTAAGACAAAACCCAGCATAAATAAAGAAGGACATAATATGATGATTAAGAGGCTAATTGAACAAAAGAACACAACCTTAATAAATATCTATGCCCCCAATATATAAATCACACCCTAATAGAACTGAAGAAAAAAATAGACAACTCTATAATAATGGTTGTTATTGTTGTTAAGTGCCTTCGAGTCGGAGCCGACCCATAGCGACCCTGTACAGGGTTTCCAAGGGTGTAAATCCTTACGGGAGTAGAAAGCCTCATCTTTCTCCCACGGAGTGGCTGGTAGTTTCGAACCGCTGACCTTAAGGTTCGCAGGCCGATTCGTAACCACGTAGGAGATTTTAAATACACAACTTTTGATGAAGGACAGAACTAGAAAGAAACTCAACAGAGACACAGAAGAACTAAGCAACACAATCAACCAACTTGACCTCATAGACATATACAGATCACTCAACTCAACAACAGCACAATATACAGTCTTTACCAGTACACATGGGACAGTCTCCAGAATGTTAGGCAACAAAGCAAACCTCATTATATTTTAAAACATCAAAATACTATAAAGCATCTTTTCAAATCACACTGCTATAAAATTAGAAATCAATAGGAAGATCATCAAGGGGAAAAAAGCAAATACATGGAAGCAGAACAACACCCTGCTTAAAAGTCAGTGGGTAATAGATCAATAGATCATTGACACAGTCTATGATGGTTACAGGATGTGTGTGTAGGGGGAGGTTGAAATAAAGTGAATAGGGATAAATACTGTTAGCTGATGGTACATGGAGTGGTATCAGTGTAATGACACAAAATGTATTAACTTGTTCAATGTGGGACTGCTGATTGTAAACCTTCACTCAATTCACAATAAAAAGTTGAAAATAAATAAATGAGTTAGGGTTGTTAAACTTGAGAATCAATAAGCCAAAAGTCAAATACTGATTTCACTACTTACTATTTGTGTGAATTTAAGTTATTTAACCTATACTGACTCCAGCTTGAAATGTGGGTAAAGATGAGGCTTTCTGCTCGGGTAAAGATTTACAGCCTCGGAAACCCTATGCAGGGTCACTGCACACCACCACCAACACCCTAGAATAAGGATTTTGTTAAGATTTAAATGACAACGTATGAAGAGCGTCTACCAGAATCAGGTACTCACATAAATAAGGCTCAGTAAACGATAGTAACGGAATCCTGGTGTGGCGCTGCGGGCTAATGCGCTGGACGCAAGGTGGGCCTGAACCGTAAGGTCAGTAGTTCAAGCTCACCAGTCGCTCCTTGGAAACCCTA